CAAAGGTTTGTGTTTTTAAATATTTGAGCTTCATTTTTATGGAGCCAAGCATGTTCATGATATTACAAAATAAAATATTATACTTTTGCTGCAGCAGATGGCCGAGAAATCTCTGGAGATTTTTATCAGTTTGCAATATAATGTTATACTACAAATAATCCACTCTAAATATTTTGTGTATTGGAAATGAACAACATTTTGAAATGTCACATGTTAATATATAAGAATTAATAATGTAAAAAATATACTATCTACATAATTATAAATATATATTTGAAACATCCCCATTATTGTCCAATTAACATAATGCAGGACATAAATAAAAATACTGAACTATTAAGATAGTAAAAACTCAAAAACAATTCACTCATGGAATGCAGAAAATATTATATTATTAGTAATATTATTTCCCCCAATTAGCCCTTTTGAGACCTACCAGCTGAATATTGACTCTTTGACTCCATGTCTGAAATCAAGTGCCAGGATTTTGCAGGTGAAATGAAATGGTGACGTTAGATGTTAAATCCAAGTCTGTCCTTTTTGTTTCAGCTTTTTCCAGCTGAAACAAGAAGGTCATTTTGTCCAAGTTACATTTTTAAATAGATCATCCAAGCCCACCATAATTATGGTGTCATGATTTATCTTTGGGTCAGGCAGGTTGCCTTCTCTCACCTTCATTTTGTCCAAAATGGAGCGACTTGTCTTTTCACTCTTTGTCTCGATCCCACAGGTTAATCACTTCTGTGCTGACTGCTCTTCATTAGCTTCCTGTGTGCTGAAAACAGGAATGATTTCTATATTCTTACAAGAAGAATATCAAAATTTGTGAATAGTTGAAAATGTTTTAATGGCCTCGCTCTGCTCTATGACTCAGACCTGCTTCACTCGCACTCTTCTTCACGTCCTCTAAGGTCAGCTGACCAACTGGTCTCCAGAGATAAGACCGAAGTTCAAAGGTGACTGGACTGTTGCAGTATTAGGACCTAAGTTATGGAAAGGAGATTCATTTTAAGGAAGCTTCTTCTCAGGCCTCTTGAAATCCTTTTGAAGACCCATTTTCTTCTCTGGTGTTCAATAAAAAATGAGTATTTTTTTCTCTGAGTCGACAATCAATCATTGTCTTCTTCAATGGAAATTACACTACCAATTTTTCCACTTTATTTTTAATGAACTTGAACTAATTAAATTAATTTGTATTTTTACGTTATCTATGAATGCACTTTGGTCAATCACACGTTTTTTATGTGTTTTATAACTAAATTAGGATTGCCAATTTAAACTGTTGTAGCTTGATGTGACCTTCTAATACACACTAACTGCAATATGAAAAAAATGTCAATAAAATGATGAAGGTGTTGTTGTGTTCCATGTTTTTCTGTTGTGTTTATTTGAGTTTTCTGTGTCCTGAGTTTTGTCCTGTCTTCCCCTTGATTGCTCCCAGTGATTCCCCTCAGTGTATTTAATCCCTCCTGTGTCCCTGGTTCCTCGTCGGGTCCTTGTCGATGTTGTACTAGTCGTTTTTTTGTGCCGTCCACCTGTATGACCAGTTGCTACCGGGTTTGAGCCCCGACTTCCGCTCAGCCGTGCTGCCTGGCCGTGGAACCACTGTGTGTTGGAATTTTGGATCACTATCATCATTAAAAGCACCACTCACTTTACCTGGGCCTCCAGCATCTGTCTGCCTGACCACCTCCACTGCACCACTTCATGACAGGCGTAGAAAAATTATTCAGCCTCTTATTAAACAAAACTGAGAAAGATAACTTTTAAGAACTGAAAATCGAGAATAGACGTCTCTAATATTAGACACAATTTGAGCTTTGAAATATGATGTATGCATTAAAACTGTCACGATCGAAGAAGGACTGGTGGAATAAAAATCAATGATGTCTTATAGTACAATACTGCCCTCTAGTGGTGAGTGGCACATAGACAATCTCCAGTAAACGAGGAATTGTGAAGAATATTTTCTCAGCTGAATGCTGCAAAAAATAATAAAATGGAGATGTATTCATTTACAGTAAAAAGCTAAACTGCAGTTTCACAACATAATAGTATTATCATGATACTATGTTTTGTCATTCACATCTTTATGGCAATGTTTTAACAACGTTGCTTATGATCATAGTTTATTCTGCAGCAACTTCTCTTATAAAATTCTGAATGGTCTTTTGATATTTCATATATAGTTTAATTTATTAGGCTTCGAGTTTTTAGCATCAGTGTCTGAAAAAGCTAAACATCTTCATGGCTAATTGGATGAAGTGACATATGTTTAAAAAATTTTCTACTTAAGTGAAAATTCCACCAATAACTATTTCAGCAAAGGTAAATAAATATACAAGCATGTTAAATTTAGCATACTTGAAGCCACACTAATCATCAGTATACTTGAAGTATGCAATTTTGGAACAACTAATTTTGTGTATTTTAATAATTAAATTGTAGAAAATCACAGTTTGAAGTGTACAAAGTTTACTACTAAAGGTAAGCTTTTTATACTTTGGTTTTACTGCTTTTTATGTAATATAAAAATGCTTGATGAGTATGTATTAAATACACTATTTTTGTGATCAAATCACATTTAAAACATATTTAGAATGTCTTCTAAGTAAATAAGCATTACATATCGTACGTATTAGTAGTGTGATAACAGTAAGCTCTAATTGCAATTATTATAATTGCTAATAAAGTACACTCTTCGGTTTCTTATTAATGTCTTTTATTATTTTGCTTAGCCACTTTCATACATACATACTACAGCACTGCAAACATATCAGACAACAGTACACAGAAAGATCAATTCAAATTGTTATCTTTTTCATCTAGCAGAAAAAGATTACACTGTTTACTCAATATCTTCACATTACATTGCCAAGATACTATCAGAAAATTGTACAAATTGTCAATATATTAAAAGTTTACAGACAACATGCTTATGAAAATTAGCACAATAAAACAACAGGTACAATTTAGAGGAAATGTGAAAAATATTTCACCAAAGACAGAGTATTGTTTTAATACAAAGTCACAGTTTTCCAGAATTACTTTAGACAAACTGACATTTCTCCTTCCTAAGAACAGTGACGATCAACAACAGAACCATTCACTGAACTTTACAGAAACCTACAAAAATAATAAAACAATAAAGCAATTAAAAACAGAAAACACTTGTATTTTGAAGAGTACGGAAAAATGGCAAAGAAAAAAGTACGACTTACAATTTATAGACGTTGTGGCTTCGCTATGGATGTGACATCATCAGATCTGATGATGATTGGGACCCGATGCCTGGAGTGGAAAATATTTTTTTCCTGTTTATGTTGAAGTAGAAAAAATAGTCAGCAATATCATAGAATCAGTTGATGTCGGTATTAACTATGAAGTTGTTTTAAGTCTGGACTTAAGGGAGACAAAGACGCATCAAACTTAGATCAATAATAATCAAGCATTCATGATGGACGTTCACCAGAACAAATCAGACAGTTTTTCAACAGCACTACCAAAATCCTTTAAGGCATTCTGACTTTATTCTTTCACAAAAATACAAAACATCTTTCCGTTCCCCCAAACTGCCAGGACCCCGGGCTGCAGGGCCCCGGGCTGCAGGGCCCCGGGCTGCAGGGCCCCGGGCTGCATGGCCCCGGGCTGCAGGGCCCCGGGCTGCATGGCCCCGGGCTGCAGGGCCCCGGGCTGCAGGGCCCCGGGCTGCAGGGCCCTGGGCTGCAGCCCGGTAAGCCCTTGCTAAAATCCAGGCTTGGATGTTGGGAATAGAAATAGTAAAGGAACATCATAACTGCATTTTACAAGTTAGATTGAAGAACTGTCTGCTTTGACCACTCCATGTTTGGTGGAAAACACAATAATACAATTTTCACTACCATGTACTAAAAACAGCTGTAAACACATCAAGCAGAATCTAGGTTAAGTATTTTATACAAAACTGCTGTGAGGTGGACTATAGAAGTCGTTCGTTCATTTAGCATCACTACTTCCATTGATGGAACCGCTCTTATTCCCGTCATGTGAATGACTCACAGAGCATTAGCGTCAAAGATAAGCAGACAGACCAAGAAGAAGTGATGAGATGCTCTTGACTGAACTTCTCTTCACCCAGCAACTGGCACACACACATTTTTTTATCGTTCTTGCTTTTCCACACATTGGCTTGCAAACCTCCTACATCATCCCTTCATTAAATGGACAAATTTAAGAGAAGGGGCATTCCACCATCACTCTTGAAACTTCTTGAGAGATTAATTGCGAACAGTGAAAGAAAAAACAAAATCTTTTTTCTGTCCACATATTTGAATCTTCTCTGTGACTTTTAATGTGCACATCACACTTCGTTTTATGATCAGTGTGTGTTTGGATTTATTTAACAAATAAGTTCTTGGTGTTTAAAGAGTATGTGTGTGTTTGTGTGCGTGTGCATGTGTGTGTGTTCATTCTGAATGGCTCCAGACCCTCATGCGTCAGAGATCCTTTCTATTTCTATGGCCCCTAAGCAAACATATTAAGAAGTACCTTATCACCGCTTGCACAGTGAGGGCCACACACACAAATGCAATTACACAAATACACACGCACACCAACACATTAAATTCTGTCCTAAGCAAACATTCCACATTCACAAAAAATAGCTTTAAGACCAATCACACTAAGCTCTCTGACAAACTTTCCAAATGTCACCAATCTGCATCGTAGGATGGGTGGGCCTAGAGAGCTTTCGGGTCTTTAACTGGTTTCTCAGATCAGTCAGTTCACATTCAGCAAAAAGTTCCACTTTATAAAGGTAATATTAGACAAGTGCACCAGGACCAGGCACATATCGTTGACAAGCCTTATCTAAGAGGTGCAGCTTTGGAATATTTGCCTTAAAAAGACCCCCCAACAGTGAATTATTGGAAGAACTTGGAATTAACCTTCTGGAGTTTTTTGGTCTTAGTCACTTGAAGTGACTTAAACACAAATCAAAATATTGGTCTATTTTTCTAAAAGCTTTGATAATTTAAAAGAACAACTTGAATTGATCTGACTACCAACTCAGCATCAATAAAACACCTGAGGAGTTTAATGCAACCTTTTAAAAATACCACATACTGAGAAGCAGCAGAGTTTGTGGAAAGGAATCTGGAGTTTGAAACTTCAGCATACAGTGAGTTTCTTGTAAGTAGCAATAGTGCTGGACTCTAAACTCCTCTGCAGACGAAATGCATAGAAGAGCAGCAGCTGTTTTGGGGATGAAGGTGGTTATAATGAAGCTGATGCTGTTTGGAATCCATGTGAACTCAGCACCAACTGACAGAAGAGAAGAAACGACTGAACTACCAGGTGAGACCAGACACCCAGTGGCGTTACTGAAATCAGTTATTTTCAGATGATCAGTTCTTGGTTGATCATTTCCAATGTAGAACACAAGATGATTATGTGTATAAATGTACTAAATCCATACAATTATTTCCAAAAGTATTATTGGACCTCATATATCATTTTGGGTAAGAGACAATAAATCATAGCAGCTTGATATACAACAGAAGTCGATATAACATTTTAATTATTATATTTATGAGTGTTTTTGTCACAATCTATCGCTATGTAACATATTTATAAACTTCACATAAACATTTTGAAAAATGTTTATATGTTAACATTGTGTATTTTTTATTTCTTTGTTTTAATGTATTTAAAATAACTAGCTGCTAAAATTAGCTGTCAACTGAACAACAATGTACAGCAACAAGTAGAATTTGGTGAGTCCCTCTCTTGACTGTATGTACATTTACAACTATAGACATATTTCCATTAATCATGGAATGGCGTAAATTGAAACTACATTAATTTTCTTAATAAATAAATGCTAATTTTGGAACAAAAAAACTATTTTTTGATAAAAAGTTTTGGTAAGATGAGGTAGTTTGTAGGCAGAATCAAAACAGATGTATAGTGAACCCTCATTATAACGGGGTTCATCTTTCATGACTTTGCTGCTTTGCAAATTTTTTTCTGCAATTATTTTTCACAGTGCATTGTGTTCTGTGTCCTGATTGGCTAAATAGTCTTCTTGAAACACTGTAACGTACCAAAGACATTACGCTATTTAAATATATGAAATATAGCTTGGCAAATTTTGACAAATATTTTTTGACCAGAAGGAAAAAGAGTAACAACAACTACCGATGACTAAAAAAACACACATGCCCCACAGGCTTCAGAAGAAAAAGACACTGCAAAGCGGAGTCAGGCCGCAGCGTTATAGTCAGAGCACAGTGAAATACACGAGTTACAATTTGTCTGACTGTACTTCATTTGAGGATTAAAATTAAAATTATTTTACTCTAGTTATTTGTAAGAAAGCGTTCTATTTGTTAAAAAAATGCTCAGACCGAAAAACAGGTTTTATTCTTTGGTTTCAATGTAGAGTATTTAATTATGCTGTATAATAATTGTAAAAAATAAAGGTAACTACTTCACGGATTTTACCTATCATGGGCGAAATCCGTGATGGGTGAAACGCAACCTCCGCGAAAACCAAGGGTTCACTGTATTTCACAAAACTGCATTGGAAACACTTCTTTTGCATAATAGTCACATGACCTCCTCATGGGCTGCCACCTTATCGTGGTGGAGGGTTTTGAGCATCCAGGTGATCCTAGGAGCTATGCTATCAGGGGCTTTGTACCCCTGCCCCAGGCAGACAGATCCTAGGTGAGGAACTAGACAAGGCACAGCCTGAAGACAAATTATGATGACTGACAGCATTGGAGATTCAGTGTATCCGAGATCTCGTTCTTTTGGTCATGACCCAAAGCTCATGACCATAGATGAGGGTAGGAATGTAGATCGAATGGTAAATCGAGAGCTTTGCTTTTTGACTCCGCTCTCTCTTCACCATGACGGACCGGTACAGCGCCCGCTTCACGGCGGACGCTGTACCAATCCGCCTGTCAATCTCCCGCTCCCTTCTTCCCTCATTCGTGAACAAGATCCCGAGATACTTGAACTCCTCCACTTGGGGCAGGACATCCCCCTCGACCCGGAGAAGGCACTCTACCCTTTTCCGACTCAAGACCATGGTCTCGGACTTGGAGACACTGATCCTCATCCCGGCCGCTTCACACTCGGCTGCGAACTGCTCCAGCGAGAGCTGCAGGTCACGTCCCGATGAAGCCAATAGGACCACATCATCCGCAGAAAGCAGAGATGGATCCTAAGGTCACCAAATCGGATCCCCTCATCACCTCGGCTGCTCTACAGATTCTGTCCATGAAAGTAATGAACACAATCGGTGACAAAGGGCAGCCCTGGTGGAGTCCAACCCTCACCGGGAACGAGCCCGACTTATTGCCGGCAATGCGGACCAGACTCTGACACCGGTCATACAGGGACCTGACAGCCCGTATCAAAGGGCCCGATACCCCATACTCCCGGAGAACCCCCCCACAGGGCACCCCGAGGGACACGGTCAAATGCCTTCCCAAAGTCCACAAAACACATGTAGACTGGTTGGGCGAACTCCCAGAACCCTCCAGGACCCTGCTGAGGGTGTAGAGCTGGTCCAGTGTTCCACAACCAGAACCAGAACCACACTGCTCTTCCTGAATCCGAGGTTCGACTATCCGATGGACCCTCCTCTCAAGGACCCCTGAATAGACCTTGCCAGGGAGGCTTAAGAGTGAGACCCTCTATAACTGGAGCACACCCTCTGATCCCCCTTTTTAAACATGGATTATATAACAAGTTAAAACTGTGAGCAGTCAAATGATTATTGATAACTGTGAAATTGAATGCTACAAATATCCATAATTAATTACTATGAAACAATAATATTATTAATTGGGAAGCAATTAAACTAAGTCTTTGTCATTTAAATTATATTTTGATTATAAATGTATAAAATGTATTGATTGGTAAGATAAGGAACCAAAGATGACTCAGATGTGATGTGAGAAAAGGGGAAGTTGTCTTGGACAGAGTATAGGTGGCTGCAGGGTATTTGGTTTTAATGGCCAAAAAAGGAATTTTCCAGTAAAGAGGAATGTTTTTATGTGTCACATAGGAATTGTCCAAAAAAGTATAAGACAGAAGCATTTGCTAATATTCAGGGTTGTGTGTTGGGGACAGTCTTCATGTTCACATCAGGTGGAGAGGTCATGGAAACCGTCTGAAGAACTGCTGAGGCCAGAGATTGAGTTTTCAGACTTTGGATTTCCTCAGGACTACTGCTTCACTCTGGGTTTCTTTTTTTCTTTGTTGGATACAAGAAATTTCACAGGTTTTGTCAAGAACAAGATGAAGAATTTTTTTATTAGATTTGACCATTGTGGGAAATTAGATTTTTACCATGTTTTCCACACAAAGAATAAATGGATCAACCCAGGAAAGGGGAGTACAAACCTCACTCTGTCTCCTTGCAAATTTAAAAAGTTCACATAGACACAGTTATGAGGAAAAATGATAATGAATCATGATTTGACAATAAGAGATGATAAGATCTGCAAAGTAAAGCAATGAAAATCTTCTGGGAACTTGTGAGAAATTGATTGCTGAGCTTGTTAACTTTAAAAGTTCTTCATGGGGTTAAGTGCTGATTGATGTGCTGAACAAAACAGCCAACAGAGAAGATAAATAAGAAATCACTTTGTTATTTATGTAGTATGATCTTTAATTATCAGCATATGGCTGCATCATTCCCTCTTAAATGATATTTAAGCAGTAAGGTACTTAGTCTACATTCTCACTGCAGGCTTCAACACATTTAAGAGTTTTTGTGAAATCCAAATTCTTTTGGATGGTCATTCACATTTCCAAACATATGCTCTTTGAATGATCTCTGGTGTGAATTGCAAAGGATGTGAACATGTGTGGCATCATGGTAGGGGGCGCAATAATGTCACACAGACATTATTTAATGTGGTTGCTAAGCCCACTACATTAAAAAAACAAAGAAGTGCTCAGTGTTTGTGGAAGGAAACATGGATGCTGATGTTGGAGCATGTCTTTACATGTTACAGCCACTGCATCAACTTAACAACAACTTCATTCTCAATATCATCTGCCGTGGTTGTTGCTTTTCTTCCTGCCTGAGCGTATCATCAGCATAGTGAGGCTTGTTGAATATCAATGACAATCAGGTCAGATGAATCTTGGGATTTCTGAGACCTGATGCTATAGACACAGGTCACATTTGAAAAGATCAGATGAATATTAGATTTAGGACCACATACCCAGGATATGTTCCCGAGTTGCTTTAGCAAAACATCTGATCTACGTTGTTCAGACTGTCATGAAAAGATCAGATGAAGGTCACATTAAGGCAAAAAAATCTTATTTGGTCACTTCAGCTTTTTAAATATTGTTATAACTTTGTTTCACCAGGAACTTTATATTTCAAGCTTACAAAGTCAGGCATAGTGATTAGTTGTGAATATTCACTGCGCTAGAGTGCGACTAATCTGATCATTTTTTTTAATCGATTGACAGCTCTAGTTTAAATTCATGTCTTAAGAGAATTATTTAAACCTTTCACTAAATGTACTTAATACATTTCAGACACGACTTTCAGCCTGCACATATTAACCTCTTCTTCTTTCTAGCAGGGTTTGGGACACCATCAGATCTTTCACCACCTGGCACTCTGGCATCATCTGTCCTGTCGAAAGCCTCCCCATTAAATACGAGTCAATGCATGAATTTTTGTCTTTTTAGCATAAAAACAGCTGGGCTTGATAAAATGACAAGAATTGCAGAAAAACTTACTCAACAAAGTATCACTGCTGGGATTATGGCTGGAAGATCACAAACAAATACAGACACACCCAGGCCAGATAATCGAGCCAAGATACTGAAGATGATCTCAGTCCTTGCAGAGCTGCACAAAACCTTCAACAGCACACTGAGTTCACAAATCACTCTGATCCCTCATGGTAATATGATCCTATTTTCTCACTTATGTGGATTCTAAAGCCAGTTCCTATTCTTCTTCTTGATCAGCATTTGGCATCTTTTGTTCTCTGTTTTATTTCAGCAAACAGCAAAAATCCCAGAAGAAAAAGTAAAGTGGTAAGATCCAGTACTCAGATCAATTAACTTTACTCCAGTATAATGATTTACAGACTACATCATATTTTGTGTATTATGATATAATATGATGTATATAAATACATGTATATCATACATGTATGATTCCTTCCAACTATGTAAGATCTGTTAGCTGTTATTTCTTCCTGTGGGAAGCTCCCTGCTCCAGTAAAGACGACTGCTGCCACTCTGTCAGCCTCACTGACCACAGCCTCCAGGTCAGGCCCAGATTCTGTTGCCCTGAGTGAGCCGGGCCGAAACTTCAGGAAGTCTCTGCCACCACAGACCAAGAAGACCAACAAAAGAGGTGAAGAAACCAAAACCTTTTCTGTGTTTGACACTTTTTTGAAACTAGAAATGACATTTTTATTTTCACTAAGCCACATTTTGTCATTTTGTTAGGGTGGCCAACAACATTATACGTACATTAAAACTATACTACCCAAAGCATTACTTGAATAATAATAGCAATAAGCTATTTCAACCTTCTGGCAGTCTTAGTAAGACAGTCATAATGCTGTCATAGTTGCATTTTAAATTGCTTTAACCTGAGCAGAATTGAAAGAACTATAGAATAGAATATACTTTATTGATCACCAAGGGGAAATTGTTTATTAGTTGACAAGCTACTCTATCCAAGGTGTTAAATATTAATAATACAAATATAACCATGAGATGAAAGAGCGATGTAAATAATTTTATGTGACTGAATATAAATTAATTAGGATTGCTGTAAATGAATATTTCGAGTATTCTATTGATTATGGTTACTGATTATATCTTCTTAATTGATTACTTGATTAATCAAGTAATCAGATTAAAAACAAGATAAAATGAAATGTTAAATCTATCATAACATCTGTTTTACTATTGTCTGGGAGAAGAAAGCCTGCCGAACTCCAGGCATCGCGCCAGTCACTTTAACCACTGCTCCCCAAAAAACACCTTGCTAACACTTGGCTTTCCTCAACAACTCATAGGTGAAAGTGAGAGCGCTGCACGATGCAAATAATGACCCGGCCAGAACACGGTGCCAAATAATGAAATATAATTTAACGAAGCTCTGAGGTGGATCAATTTTCCTCCAGGAATTTTAACAATCGAGGAACTCGAATCATTTGAGAAATCATTACAGTACTAATTTAAATTTTTTTAACGTTTTTACTTTTTTTTATTATTAAAGTTTTCATTATTTTTAAGAACATATGTCTGAAGCCCCTCCCAACCCTCCCCTCCCCCTGACACTCAAACAACAACAAACAAACAACAACAAACAAAGTAACCAGGTCATCATATATTAAATTAACAATAGTTTCACAGAAAATTAGCATATACAAATATCCTTGATGTTAGACAGTACTTCATGAAATAATAAATATGTATGTGCAAATATGTTAATTGATAAATTAGTGCAGTGAAAATTTGATTGAAGTTATCCAGACTTGAGCTTTGTAAAGTCTAAAGTTTACAGGCAGAAACGTTGCTTACAGTCTAACCTGTCTTGCCTTCTGTTCACAGTGTGTTTCTGGAAGTATTGTTCCCAGAACTGAAGCCTCCCAGCTGACCCTGGTGTCCATTCCTCACTAGTTACATATATATGTCTGATATTCCTACCGGCGATATCTTCTCAACTAATCATCCACTCAGCCATCTATCCCAACAGAGCCAGTCACAAACAATTCTGTCTTGTTCTGTTCCGGTTTCATTGTCAAGAACTTTGAACGAGCAGTGTGAGATTAAACTGGTTATTTTACAGTAATGAAATGGTTAAATAGAGGTTATCAATAGTGCAAACAGAATACCTGCTACAACAGTAAGTTGACTGCATAGTGAATGTATCCTTTTCTCTGCTGTGTCTTTCCTCTGACTTGTGCTAGGAAACTGTTGCCAGGCTTCAGAAAGCACCATGTCTCCCCTCAGGCTGGCGCCAGTCTTGACTTGGCCCTTTTCATTTCCTCATTTATTAACAAGACTGACCAATCAAAAACAGACGATGTGTGCTCGTGGTCTGGGCACATGAAAAGATAGCTTTGTTAACCACATTCTGTTAAAGGATGCGCACATGTCAGTTTTGTGTTTGTGCCATGTTTAAAATAAAATTCATCAGTTGCATGACAAACAGCAGCCATGGCCACAATGTAAGAAAAATGTCATCAGCTTTCTGTAGTTTCACTGTCAGTTTGATTCAAAGTTTCATGCTTATTAAAACTCATGTTGCTGTTTGCCCTTTTGGAGTATTTTGTGGAGTTTAATTCCAAGTTGGATTTACGATCTGGAACAAAATAAAACAAATTCCTTGATGCTCCTTCAGAACTTTGTTCTTGTTGGATCAAACAAGGATACAATTCACACTGCATTAAACGGAAAGAGTTTAATGCAAACACTGAAAAGCTTTGCAAGATTGTTTACAATAATTTCACTGTAAACAAAGTTGACTCTACTTGCGTTTTCAACAAAGTATAAAAGTATGACAGAGTTTTCCTTTTTCCTGATTGGCCAACAATTTTACAGTTGAATAAATGGACCTAAAATCAGTTTCTCAAACTTTTTCTGCCATTTTTGTAGTTTGATAGCAGTAATACGTTTATTAAAGATGTCAACAAAGAAAGACTTGTCTATCGACGGTTATGTGTTGGAGCCAGAACAGAAGAATGAAGAAAACAAGACTGCAGGACCACACATTAATGAGAATGCATCACAATGTGTTATTACTGTGTGTACATGATGCAGCATGATAGACTGCATCAGGTCTTTAGGAAAATCTCTGTTGATACTGGCGGAGGTTGATGAAGCTCCTTAAAGTCTCCACAACAGATTTTCTGCACTAATTCTGCACATTCCCAAGAAAAATAAAGGTTAAAGAGGGACTTTGAAGAGGCTCTGATACCTGGGGACAATGTGAGGAATCAAACATTGAATATTAGTAACACATGCTACTCATGTCATATATATTTAATTGACTTATATAATAGTTTTAATAACTTAAGTTTTAACTACAGCAATAGATTGGACAAATATCTCACATTGTGCATTGTCATAAAAAATGAATTCAGGAAAAATAATAATAATTGTAAGTGAAGTTCTTTTTATTGCTGATGTCATTTTTTATAGAGAGGCATATCATATAAAGATGCTTGTGATCCTCTTTCATTTCTACTGAATTTTCCATTTTCATTTGACTGCAAGCATGTCTGTGGCTTTATTTTAGCCACAAACATGCTAGTCTTTCATGCAGAAACAGAATCACTTTTATAAAATAAATTGTGTACAAAAGATACTTTATTTAACACTTAACAGTGTTCTGATAAGAGTTAACTCGGGTTTAAGAGAATATGTTGAAACTACTAGTGTGTGGAAAAGGATTTTTATTTGCACTTCTACATCAAATCTACAAATACTCAAGTCCCCAACCCCCCAAAATGCCTAAGGCTTCCTATTTTAATATTTCAAACACCAAATATACCTTAATACACCTTAAAATTATGCACAGTGAACACTACCTTAGCACTACTGCAAAGATATTGTCTCTCTTGGTGGTAATCAGCAGCAAGGGAAATCAACTGAACTCCTGGTTGCTTTGCAAACACCAGCCAATAGTGTGTCAAGTAGCATTTCAACCAACAACCTGCATTTTCTCTAAAATATTTTACAAAACAGTTCATGAATGAAAAAGTCTGACAACAGATGAATCTATGAGTATACTGAACTGATAATAGGTGGGCTCCACTGAACTCACAGCTCTAAGAACTCAGAAACTGTGAAGAAAAGAAATAAGGACACCAGATGTTTAAAGACCAAGGCCTTGACTTGTGATCACAGTGTCACGTGTTTCATTTCATTGTTTGTGATATTCATCTTTTGTTGTAAGTTATATATCTTTTAGTCATTTTACTGTAAATGTGGCTCTGCCATCATGAGAGGGAGTAAAGAAACATCACATGAAAAATGTTCCACAACATGCATCCCAACCGGTGAGTGCACAAAGACAAAATCATACCTCATCATTTTTAATAAGTGTCTGTCTGTCTGTAAAAACTATAAATTCACATTGGATCTTGTTAGGTTATAATCTGACTCTCCTCCCCTCACCTTGACAATCAAACTAGCTATTGTAGAGCTTGCATCTGAATTTTTCCATGTTATCTTTTTCTTCTAATAAGAAAAAGACATTTGGTTTGTTTAATTGTTTTAATTTAATTTATTCCTCCAAACCAACTTCTCTTTTCTCCACTCCTACTTAATTAGTTTTGCAACGTCCATGTAGGCAAACTCAATCTCTCGTTCTGCAGGGCAAGTGCTGGTGAACTCTTTCTTTAAGTAGGCACAGGTCAAATATCTCCACACACCAGTCATTTCTGCAGGGATGTCAAGTCCACGGTATTTCTTCACTATGACCTGATGAAGAAACCAGAGAATAATAAGCATAACAAGTCACACAATCTCCAGTGAAGAGATTGAACTTTAGTGATCAAACCTTGAGAATATGTAGTTTAGGTAGCAGGTTACAATCTGCAAGGGTGAGTTCAGGTCCATCCAGGAAGCTTCTGGTGGACTCAGGCAGGTCGCCAACTGCATCTGCATCAATCTCCTCAGACAGGGGCGTCCTCAGGAAGTCATCGAGACGACGGAGAGACTTCAGTAAGGCTTTCTCTAAGGCTTTCATTACAGAGGGACAGAAAGAAAAAGTCTGAAGCATAAAAATGGATCAAGTTGGATACATTAGCTTCATTTTGCAAACTGTGGAAGCAAAAGAAACAACCACTTCCTTTCAACTTTTAAAGCTGCGGTTTATAACTTTGATAAAAGAAATTATCTGACATATTAGTTGACATTGTCACTCTTCCGTGACCGTATAGTACCAGACAGATAATGTGAAAAAAACTGAGCTCCTCTTCCTTCTTCCAGTGCTCACAGTGCGAACTATAAATAACCAATCAGAGCATGGAACTAAAATCACCCAGAAGGTTGATGCACTGCTTTTTGCAGATAAGTCTCAATCATATAAAATTGAAGATTTTGTTTGTTCATAAGAGATAAAAAGGATTAGAAATATTTTTGGAAAACACAGTACAGTTTTTTTTTTATTTTTTTTTTACATATTTATATAGCAAGCAATTATTGAGAAGGCATCAGGTAAGATTCTCATGATCAACATTAGGAGGTGAAATGCCATTATGGCCTTCACAAGAGTATGTTCACAGAAAATGTTCATAGTCACAGGTAATTCTTCTGCTACAAATGTATTCTGTTAAAAATATTACTAAAATAATATAAACTTTTATAATTCCTGCACTGCAAAAGTGTAATAATCATCATAACTTTAACTTTAAAGAAATGATAATAACAAAACCTGAAAGTCTGAGAAAAAGAACAACAGCATCAAAAACAATAGTTCATCCCCACACCAAATCAAAATGTATTAATCTATGGGCTTTTACTAAACCAAAAGACTGCACCATTACCTCTCCACCACATGAGGGTGTTGTTTAGTTACTCTAAGCACAGATGAAGAGGATGAGACCAAAGGTAAAGAAACACTTTCTTGTCCAAACCATATAATCTCTGTCTTACCATCATGTGTGTCTCTTCTTGGGTTTTTGATGTAGGCAGAAAACTTGGCAAAAATGTCTATTCCTGCTGTGTTGGCTTCAGGATGTTTGGGAGCTAGTCTGGGGTACCTGTTTTTTCAAGAAACAAAAAAGAGCTGAAAAAGCTGTGTGCTAATATATTTTGTCAGCATAACTAGTCAGCAAAGTGGGCATAAACATAGCCTGTGCATATTTTAGCACTTCTGACCTTGTGAAGCCAATTTTTCCAATAAATACTATGATGTGAGGATCCAATGCTAAATATCAAACCTAAGGACTGGGCCCCATAGGAAGAAGTGTTTTTGGGTTAAGGTGTAGCTTTAGGAGTAATGTATGAATTGAGTTTAGGTTGGTGTAGCGATAGATATGCAGTGATAGTGGGTTAGGTTTAGGGTAATGGTCAGGGTTTGACTACAGAAACAAATGGAAGTCAATGCACAGTCTTTGTGATGACAGACTTAAATATGTGTGCGTGTGTGTGTGTGTGTGTGTGTGTGTGTGTGTGTGTGTGTGTGTGTGTGTGTGTGTGTGCGTGTGTGCGTGTGTGTGTGTGTGTGTGTGCGTGTGTGCGTGTGTGTGTGTGTATACCGTGGTGGAGTGAGTTTCTCCTCCAGGAACTCCTCTATCTTGTTAACATCAACCTTGACCTCGCCATCAAATGTCATGAAAGGAGGATTAACCCCTGGAGCGAGGTCCTGTAGGTTTGCTGGTTTTCTGAAGCCAGCAAATTGTAATTGATACATGAACCATAGTGTAAAAATGCAAAAACAACTTTTTACACATGCATGTTCTTTCACAGGATTATTCTTGACATCTGCCTCCAAAGAAATTAAGAATGGTTACACTATCAATGTGAAAAGATGATGACAAGACGTTACCTCTTCACATCCACTGTGGTGACAGTAAAGATGACTCCTTTCAGCAGTAAGATCATGAAGATTCTCTGAGAAAAAGGACAGTTTCCGATGCTCTCTCCATCACTTCCTGCCTAAACACATGCATACAAAAACATATGTTCATTTTTTTTTTTTTTTTACATGTTCTTCATAAGAAGAAGGAACCAGCCCCCTGCGATCCTGTAAAGACAATTATGTATAGGGTTGTCATACCTAATGGCAATTAAAAATTACCAGCAGGGTAAAATGTCTCACAGCTGGATGAACTTAAGTTTAAGGACTTGCTGAAGTTGGTTTTGTGACTGTCTGTGTGTGTGTGAAAGGGTGAACAAAGGAATGTAGAGTGTGGTGGCAAACAAGCGGTGCATTTTGCTGGAAGACATTTCAGCCTGTTTGTGGTCAGCAGTTCTCCTCAGCATCAAATAGTGGGTTAATCAGCTTAAAGAGTGAGAATGGGGAGATTAACCTGCTGCTGGGAGCAGAATAACACAAGTCCACTGTGAAGCCATTGGGGTTTATCTCATATATAAAGAGAAAAACCCTGATGTTGTCTCCAGATGAGACATTTTTGAATCAGAACTTGTCATATTGTTGACGATTTGACCTGTACAAACAACCAGCACAGTGAAATCCTGCCCATGAACTCATAATATTTTCATCTACCTACAGTCAATGCTCCAGAGCTCCTAATAAAAGAGACTATTGTTTGAATGCGGGGTCTCGTGGTGTGTAAGCTTGTTGTGCAAATATTTGAGGCACAGCTCAAATACTCCCTCATTGTGGAGTTGGACCATTGCTAATTCCCTCTGTAATTCATGCCCTTGTTCCAAGGCTTCTGGTCTATGGAAGAGCAGAATGAGTTGCTCTATGGTGATGAGGAAAACTCTAAACTTTCCATCATTATGGAATAACTAAGTCTTTGTACACAATGTGCTGTTCTGTCCCTTACCACTAGGATTGCATGCCAAAGTAAAGCAAGTTATCTTGTTCATTGGATTAGCACAAGACTGGTCTAATAGGATAAAGAAAGCAGTCTGTCAAATACATATACTGTACATGGACCACAACTCCTATAAATGTGTGTTCTTACAAAAAAGCAAACTGGTGTTGGGGCTAAATTCCTCAGTTCGTATTATTAGATCTTTTGACATATTTTTGCTTAAAGTGTTTGTCTCAGTTTTGTGGTTGGAGATAAAAGAAGTCTCCTTGTACTTTGATTGCAAATTGCTTGGTTGCATTCTTTGGTTGCATTTCATTAGGCTCCAGGAAAAGCTTCATGATGTGCTTGTCCATAGATGGCACTCAAAGATGTTGTGATGCTATCAATGGCTGATATGGATGTTTGTGATATCCTACCAGAACTACTAGTTGAAGAAAAATATTTTAAGTTTTTTGTCTACCAAGCTTTGAAAGTATTTCAGTTCACCAGTCCGTCTGCTGCTTTGCTGAGTATTCTTGTCCAAATTACTTTTTACCATTCTGCCATGTTCTAATCCAAAAGTATAGCGGATCCTCATCTATTGTGATTCAGCAGTCGTGGATTCATCTATTCATAGAATGTTATGTGGAACATAGCTGGGTTCTTATGTATATGAAAATACTTACTTCCTAAGTATTTCAGCTTAGGAAGCTGGAATACATAGGTGGAAGGCTAGTTGACATTGGCTGGTGTTAGCGAAGCAGCAAATCCAGGAACATCATTCATTTCCTTGTCACTGATTGGTTGTATCTCCAGGAGTGGGTAAAGGGAATAGTGGTAGCTTCTGCAATAATACTGTGCATTATAATACATATTAATAGTGTTTTGTACTGTAAAAATTCAAACTCTATTTGTGTTTTTAGAAAGGATCTCAAATATTTGCAAATTTTAGCCACAATTCCTTCACTGGGTTTCGGCAGTTGCAAATAGTGTAAATTCTTAATCATCTAGGATTTGACAATCCAAAATACTTAAGTAGAACATTTTTTGATTCTTGAAAATGAATAACAAAATGTGAGTTGATTTGTCTCAAAGTGTGATTGACTGTAAAAGCACCTGAGACAGGTCAAGGCTGTCTCAGGTGGTAGTGTAGATGTTAGAGAGATAAAGTTGGAAGGTGGTTCCTCTTTTTAAAATGTTTTTCATGTTGAAGATAGATGCCTAATTTTACTCTTTTCTACAGCTGTCTCCCCTGTCTTTTTATACATTGCTGCTTTTTAAGGAGTGTCCCTCATCTTTGAGATGAAGATGAGATGTAGACCTTGAACCAATGAGCTGGCTCCTCAGTGTTCGGCATTGCTTTTGTAAAACTATTTTGTTTCTCAAACAAAATTGCAAATGCAATTGCTGAACTGGACTGCATGACTGGACTGCAGTGTCATGTCTGAAATGTTTGGTTTAATATGCACCAGAATTTAAGGCTTACTAAGAGAAAAGTGCTTTCTCTGCGTCAGGGAGGATGTCCTGCCCCAAGTGGAGGAGTTTTAGTATCTCAGGATCTTGTTACAAATGAGGGATGAAGGGAGCAGGAGGTCGACAGGCGGATTGGCACAGCATCTGCTGTGAAGCGGTGCTGTACCGGTCTGTCATGGTGAAGAGAGAACTGAGTCAAAAAGCAATACTCTTGATTTACTGGTGGATCTACGTTCCTACTCTCATCTATTGTCATTAGCTTTGGGCCGAAAGAACAAGATCTCAAATAGAAGTGGTCTAAATGGGTTTTCTCTGTGGGGTGTCTGGGCTCTCCCTTAGAGATAGGGTGAGAGGCTCGGTCATCCAGGAGGGACTCAGAGTAGAGCTGCTGCTCCTCCACATCGAGAGGAGCCAGTTGAGGCTCGGGCGTCTGGGTAGGATGCCTCCTGGACACCTCCCTGGTGGGGTGTTCAGGGGACGTCCCACCGGGGGGAAGGCGCAGGGGAAGACCCAGGACACACTGGAGGGATGGAGGGACTATGTTTCCTGGCTGGGGAACACCTTGAGAGATGGATCAAGTGGCTGGGGAGAGGAAAGACTGGGCCTCTCTGTGTAGGCAGCCACCCCTGCGACCCGACCCAGGATGAGTGGAAGAAGATGGATGGATGGATAAAAGACCTTCTTCATGTCTGAGATACTTCAGACATATGTTTCTTTGTCTTTCCCTTTACTGGATTGAGTTTAGTGTTTTCATGATATACTGGATACCTTAGGAAAGGCCCAGTGAGGGTACATTCAAAAAAGTACTTTCCAGATGATTTTGTGTGCATTGGCCTTAACTTTCATCATTGTAAGGACCAGTTTACGTTCCGGTGAGTGATAACATTAAAAACCTTAAGTACTTGTGCAGGATCCCAAATCCATGATCAGAACTGCAGAAGCATTTTGTTTTGTTGTGTTTCTGCAGAGAAAGTGCATTTGCCTTCTACTCACGCATTTACAAAAGGACGTAGTAAGTATGTGATCAGCCCTTCTAAGGCAACATTTTAAAGGAACTTCAGCCTCATTGTTGCTGTATTATCTCTGACATCTGGTAGTGGTAATGAATGAAGCCCCAGTCAGAAATATCAGTTTTAAACTTCAGCTTACAAACTCACTGTAGATCTTAGAAGAACTTAATTTTCAATTTATAAAGGACAATACAATTAAATGATCTTACAGTCTTATTGAGCCAGAGCCTTCTATGGTTTAAGCTTAGTTTAGTATTCAATGTAACATCAACTTGTAAATATTGATATCTACAACTCTAGAAAAAATTAAGAGACCACTACTTTGAACTCCAATGAAAACCTCATGGTTAATCCACCAAATATTAATTTCTGAATTCTTTCTGAGTTAAAATTTTACTGTTGTTGTTTCTAAATTAGTATTAACTTGTTTTAATTGCATTATTTGATTTTTGAAAGCACTGCATCTTTCTCATTATTTTGATCATTTCTCATGTTCTACAAATAAATATTACATTTTGCTTGAAATTTAACCTGGAAAATAATTTCAGGTTAAATTTTGGTTTAGGCCCTAAACCAGTTTTGTTGCATATTAAGCTAGATTGTATGTGAAGTGCAGTGTGGGAACTCCAATTCATTACCTTCACATAGAGAGAGATTTCATGGTTCTGATCTTGAAGTGTTCTGCTGTTTCTTCGTTTAGGATGCACTGGGCTTTCCACTTTCCTGTGGACGATCAGCTTGACCTCCTCTCTCTCGTCCGGGGTCATCTCCTCCCGCTGTGGTATATATGAATGGCCATCCTCCAGTAGCACTACTCGCTTCTTCTTCACTTGGTCATCTTTTTTTTTGGACTGGGATTCATCTTTGATCATTGACTTTAACTCTTTCATGCAGTCCCCCTTCTTCTGTGAACTTTTTGGTTCTGGCACTTTTTTTTCTATCATCCATTCTTGGCCACACCTTTCATTCTCCAAGATATTTTTTCTAAAAGGTCTCAGTTCTTTTCTCCAGTCTTTAACCTCCTCTCCAAACCCTTCACCTTGCTGATCTCTTTTAATCCAGTCATCATCTTTTCTCATGGTTGACAGCAGTTTCGATTTCCCCTGTCCTTCATTCCAGAGTGGTTGTAGTTGCACCCCCACAGTTCCATTCTCTATTGCCTGCTTCAGTCCTTTAACTTCAGAGTCTTTCTTTATGTCTTTTAAAATCTGATCATCCTTTCTCTCTTCTTTTTCTTTTAGTTTCTCTTTCTCCCCATCTTGTTTTGTGTACTTTTCTTTTTCTTGGACTTGTTTCTTTTTTTCGTCTTCCTTTTCTCCAGCTTGCACTGACACTTTTTGAAGCTCTTCATCCTGCTGTCTCTCACTAGTTGTACCAAAAGGCCATTTTATAAATGGAATGCTTGGACCATCGGTGGAGTCTATGATGTAATCATCTAAAACAGTGACAGGTTCCTCTCCCATTTCAACTTCTCCTTCTATTACATTTTCTTGTTCAGTCTCTTTCTTATCTTCAGCAAGTTGCTTGAGTTGCTGATTGTCTCCTGGATCTATTTCAGACATTCTGAGATCTTGCAAAAGATGCTCATGCCCTCTTCCTCTTTCAGCTGTTGTAGTTGCATTTTTATTTAATGAGACTTCAGTTTTTTCATTCTTTTCAGATGTGTCCCTCTCCTTATCAAAAATCTTACCTTTGTGTCCATCTACAGACACATCCTGCACATGCAGCTCACCCGGTTCTACATGAACATCAGCTGCCAGGTTTTCAATCTGATGAAACATTTCTTTTTCCATTTCATCTTTTCCCTCAAACACTAAGTCTCCAATAACTTCTTGGCATGTCTTTCTTTCATCTTCCTCATCTTCCAAAGTCTCAGCCTGGCCGACTCCGACCCTTGCTTTCCTTTCTGCAAACCCAATCTCTGTCAGTGATTGTGGGTCAAAGGTTACAGTGAGCAGCATTCCCGGTTCTGTCTCTTCACCTGCTTTACTTCCTATCTTTGACTCAACATCGGAATGCTGATCATGAGAACCAGAAATGGTGTTTGTGTTTTTCCTGTTCTCATTGTTTTTCACCTCTTCTTGATGGCTGGTTATTATCTGCTTGTCTTCGGTTTGGTTAAGTGTCTTGACTTCTGTGCAGTCATTGTTTTGGCATGGATTACCCTGAGAGCTGACATTTTCCTTTACTGCTGTGCGAACTTGGGCCAAGTCTCTCTCTAAATGGTCAGGATGTTGGGTCGTGTCTTCTGAAGTTTTTCCATCAGAATATTTGTTCCCATCTCCAGACTGCCCCAAGCAGACATCAAGACAGTTGACACTGAGTTCTTTCAAACTGGAGTCCCACATATTTGTTTCAATTGTTTCCATACATTCTTCTGCATAGATTTTCTCCCTGAGGACTTCACTGCTGTCTGATAGTTGATATTTCTTAGTCTCTGCTAACACAGGAGAAGAACTTATGATGGTCTCACATTCTTTGTCTTTTGTCTGTTCATCTAACGTTCCTCGATCTTCATCCCCCACATCAGTTCCCTCCTTTACATGCTCCTCTTCTTCCTTGTGTTGTAGTGAAGCCACTTCACTTCTTCTTGTGTCCTCATTTTCACTTTGCTGTCTCGACTCATTCACAGTGCCATCAACTTGCTGCTGTCCTGCCACAGTTAACATTAAGACATCTTCACCTACCTCCTCTGCTAGTTCCACCTCTTCAAATTCCCCCATTGCCTCCTCATCCTCTTTGCCGCTCTGTGTGTCCCGATCTGAACAGATGGTTACTGGGCTGTAGATAACGGCTCTGTTTGACAGGTCTGGGTGTTGGCAGGAGCTGAACTGAGCCATGAGTTACTTTCACCGAATGATGGAATTTAATCCAGAGCTAATGCTACCCAGTATCCCAGGATACGATTGACTTAATTGATTAAATTGCTCTTTGTTCGTGACTTTTAGATGAGTCTTTAAATCCAGAACAAAGCAAAGATGAATATTTACCAAACCTTCATATGCATGGAAGTATGTTTTCTTCAAAATCCAGGCTCCAAAATTTCAGAACTGAAGAAGTTCAAGCGTACGATATGAATAATATCCACCTGAAGGATCTGTTTGACTTCTTGATGTGAGGCTCCTGCCTGCTAGCAAGTGTTAGATATTAATATCTACAATCTTACTCCCTCCTTCTCTTCCACTTCCTCCTCCTCTCCTCTCTCTCTTCCACTCTGTTCAGAGATTAAAACAAGGCTGATCCCCATATGACCAAAGGCTTTAATCTCTTCGCAATTCAAGGACCAGCACCATTTAAACGCAAAAAAACAACTCAGCAGAACCTGCACTAAAACTGTTGCACCTCTTAGATTAACATTTTGTGCAAACAATCAGGTTAATTTAATTACGTTTTTTTTAAATTCATGCCTGCACCGTGGAGCAGTTGGTGGTTTCCTTGGTTCCAAGGTTTGATTCCCAGCCCTGGTTGTTTCTGCAAGGAGGTTTAATGTTCTCCCTGGGCATGTGTGGACTCTTGGGTTCTTCTGCTTCCTAACAGTCCAAAGACATGACTTTCAGATTGCTTGGTCTCTCTAAATTCTCCTGTATGTGTTTGTGCATGATTGTCTCTGTGTTGGCCTGTGATGGACTGGCAAATTGCCCAGGCTGACCCCGCCTCTCACCTGTTGACCGCTAGAGATAGAAATAAACATGCAGTTGACAAACTTGCAACGACTGTGTGACGCTATGTTTTCAATATGGTCCAAATCTCTGAAATTATTTTCTGACACCAAAATCTGTGAGGGAAAGAAACTGTCCTGAAATCAAAGTGGGGTTCCAACCAGAAACTAGCATTGTCAATAATGCATGTGATATTATTTACATGTACCTGGGTCAGAATGCGTTCTTCCTGACACCAAACACATCATGTTTTATTTTTTGTTATTTTTTCATCTTTAAATTTCTGAGATTAACCTCAAAGTCTCTGAGGGTTTTTTTCTTTTTGCAGAAATTGATTCATTTTTGTCGATGTACAATTGAAATTATTGTCGACAGATATTTTTCATGCCTTCCTAAAATAAGAAATTCTGACTTCTATCTAAGAATTCTGCTAATTTAGAGATTAAACTGAAGAAAAAGTCAGGATTCTGAGATGAAAGTGAACATTTTACAAAACTGAGTTTTCCCCCCATTTTTTCAGTGGCGTCGTAATAATGAAAAATGACTGGACTATGAAGTGAAATATGACTTGTCATATTTTTTTGGCGCTGTTCCGCTCCAGGACGCCAGAGGGCGATAGCTCACTGTGTGTGAAGCGCCTGGGAAAAACTGCAGAGGCGCGCCATGTCCTTTAGCCTGTGAGCAGCTGTCATGTCGGCAGACTCAGTGTTTCTGTGTGTCCAGTTATAATTCAGAGTTGATTTTGGCCTATCAGCTCTGATTCAGCCTGACGCAGGTTAGTGTGGAGTCACTGGGCGACCAGGAGCTAACCTGTTAGCTCAGATCAGCTTCTGTCTGAGAGGACACTGTGTGTTAGCTCACCGTGATGGTGTGTGTGTGCGCGCGCGTGTGTGTGTAGGAGAAGAGCCTGGCGATGGAGCTGCAGCAGGCTGTGAACGGAGCAGAGGAGGAAGAGGAGGAAGTGGCTGTTGATGTTCAGGTCACTGATTTACTGAACGCGCTGATCGCCTGGAAGGTCCCGGATGATCTGTTCACCGTCAGCAGCCTGAAGGTAACAAGTGGCTGGAAGCTTTGCGGTTTTCCTGCCACGATCAAACTCTGCAGCAAACCCCCGGAGTGGCTGCAGGGCGATTTTACCACCTATATAGTAGAAATAAATTCCACCTGCTTGTAATTTAATTGCAGATTGACCTCAGATGTTTGAACTGCAGAGCTGCAGAAATCTGAATCATCTTTATTCGCCAAGATTGTATGCAAACAAGCCACAAAGTATAGATATTTAACAGTTTAGTTTTAAAGGATCTTTGTGTGTGTTGTACAGCAACTTCACTTTATATAAATAAAAACTCAAAAAAGAAGGGCAGTGGTGGCCAAACTCTGCTTATTTTGTTTCCCATCAGAGTATCTGTCTGCCCAGGTTGTAAGATGTTTGTTCGAGAGGCAGCCTGTAAGAAGAAACGTTCATTGTTTTTGAAACCAGTGCTTGTTTATAGTTGACCTGAAGGTAAAAGTCTGTATCCAGGATGTGTGGAGTCTGCAGAGATGATGGATGCCCTCTTCCTGACCTGACCAGAGGTCTGCAACATTTACAGTCCTAAGAGCTAGAATTGCCTCCCGTCCAGCTAAAGAACTTTAGAGCCACAATTGTAACCTGACTTACCTTTTCTTTAAAGGATGACTTAAAATTTTGCTAAATGTCTAGTTAAGGATTTTTTTTTATTTTTCTAGTTCTCCATTTTATTTATTTTTTATTTTTGGATTGCATAATAAAGAAAAATCTAAAACTTTAGCAAGGAAGAAGGCGGATATGTTTCCTTTTGTGGGACGTTGAAATTGATGAAAAATGAAAACAGTTTCCAACTTAATGACAAACAGATCTAAAACAATATCACTGGCACTGTTAGTGTCATTCTGAAATTTTTGTAAAATTTTATATTTAAAACTAGTTGATTCCTTATCATTTTAAGCTAGAGTTATTAATACCATGGAATCTCTCTATTCAGGTAACATGAAGGAAGAGTTGAGCATGAAATAATTGGCAGAATTTGAGAATATGCTTCAGAGATTTGTCCATTCTTATTGTCCTCCATGTTCTATATATTTTCCAGGCCAGCTTTGAGTCCCTGTTCCGTTCATTTGACCCAGAAGTTCAGTTTCAGTATTTCCGGTCGTTTCGACGGGTCAGGATCAGCTTCAGAGACGCTCTGGCAGCAGCTGAGGCCAGGCTCAGGCTGCACAAGACGGACTTCAATGGGAGAGAGATGAGGCTGTACTTTCCTCAGGTAATGCTGCTGTTCCAGGCTGGAAGGTCTTCCACGTTTCTCTGAATAAAAAGACAATGTGTATCAGAAATGAGCTCGACAGCAACTTTTAGCAGTATTTTAGTCAATTTGTAAGCTTTTGGTGATCTGCTTAACCTTTTTAATTTTCAATAATGTTTGATATTTGAAATATTTTGATCTGTTCTCTTGTTTTTTCATTTCATTTCCTGTAGTCTGTCCACATTGGAAGTCCTCGTCTGGAGCCTCCAAAGCCGGAGAAGCAGTTCCTCATCTCCCCTCCAGCCTCCCCACCAGTGGGCTGGGAACAGTCTCATGATGCCACGCCAGTCATCAACTACGACCTGCTGTGTGCCATTTCCACACTTGGACCAGGTACAGAACTCAGCTTCCCCTTCACTTTTAATGAAGAACGAGGGAAAGTAGGACCTGAACTGGGACACCTGAGCTCTACTAGTAGCAGTCGCAAGCATCAGCCTATCCTTTTCAAAAGAACTGTCTTTTTAAATCTTCATCTCATAAACTGTGGATATGTGATAAGAGGAGCTGGATGTGTCAGTCCTGCATCCTGGGAACCAGTCGGCTTTGTCTGAGGCAGTCCACCAGTTAAACAATGTTAAACGCTCACAGGAAATTTGAAAATATGATCAGGAATTGGAAAAAAATACTGATTTGATTTAAACATCAACTATAAAAATACAATTAAAATAAATATCAATCTAATGCACTTCAATTAAATCCTAGCTGAGTTATCAAGCCAGTTGATCTTAAAACAAGCAATGCAATGCTGGTCATGTTTAAAGATAAAATGAATTAAAAGAAATACTAACCAATAATGAGCATTTGTATGCTTAACTAAATATTCTTAGGGTACAACATCCAAGTATTTGTAATATTAAGTCCTTTTGAGTTTTCCTAAATCCCACCATTTCTAGTAATGTTGCAGGTTGTGATTGGTTGTTATTTATCCAATGGAATTTGCAAAGAATATTCAGAGTGGATTAAAAACACTGAGACTTTGTAAAAAGAAAATGTCCAGCGTTTATCAATGGTTTATCTGTGGCTTGTTGCTTTATTCACAGGTGGCCAGAAGTTGTGATGAGTTCAGATAATTAAAATAAAAAAGACACCTGACCTCAGACTTCTGTTGCTCTTTCTGCAGTTTCACCAAAGATGTTCTTTAGATATCGTTGCTATCGCTGTTACTGGTGTAAGTAAAAGGATATTTGAAATAAATAAACAAACTTTAGCCTGGTGGTTGGAAAGCAAAGCCTGGCGACCGACCAGGCTTACAGCACACTGGGACAAACCCTGCATTGTGTTTCCACATATTTATTCTGTTAATGTTGCTAACTTGTGCTCCTTTTCTGTGCTGCCTCCCCTCCAGGAGAGAAGTATGAACTTCACACGGCCACGCCCACTACCCCCAGCGTGGTCGTCCATGTGTGTGAGGATGAGCAGGCTGACAGAGCGGCGGCTCCCGACAACGACCAGGAGGACAAGCCCTGTTCCCCCCGGCCAAAGATCATCCAGACTCGACGCCCCGACTACACCCCCAGGGTGGAGCAGTGAACTGTGACCGCAACAGAGTGCAAAGTTTCATCATGAAGTCATTGGTCAAGAGCTGACCACGCTCTCACAAAGATTCTTTGACAGTTTGGGGGATTTAAGAGGGCCCTCTAGGGAGCGAAGGTGTCCTGGCGAGGGGCGTGTCTTCTAAGATGGAGACAGAAAACTAGCTGCTGATTGGACTCTTGTCCAAAACATTATGAGTGTCCTGTTAGAACCAATTGAGCTTAGCCAATCAGATGAGACTTAGTGTTTGGGTTTGAGGGCTGAAGGAAATGTTACCGCTGCATCATTGTAAAATCTCCCTCACTTTGTCCTCATCCAGTTTGCCTGATTTTCCACCTTGGTGAAATCCAGTGTTAAATTAGGCTCAGCCCAAATCATATATCATATATCCATTCACTTTATTGTATGGCCGCTTTAATTTCCAATATGAACAAAGAGTTGGTCAGGTGATTGGAACTGAAGGAGTGTATTCTTGCTGCTGATAAACTCTTTTGTTCTGCTTTGCCAGATGACTTTGCTACTGTTTCATCTGATGACTGAGCTTTACATATCTGCTCTGCTGAACCAAGCAGGCACCCATACTGCCTGTGGCGGCATTTCCTTCTGCAACAGAAAGCCAAGAGGGGGTGGCCTCTTTCCAGGTGGATGTATTTAGTGTTGGTAGGTTGGAAAATCCAGGCTCCAGAAAGCTTGTTTTGTTTCTGCTGGGATTTTGTGTGAGATCATCGTATGAATGTTTCCTGCAGTGTCACATCATGGCAAAAGTATTCACATCTTCTGACCTTTCAGCTTCTCTTCTTTTACTAAAAATAAAAACAGGAGGGAGAACAAAGTATGTTGTAGTTTGTTTTGAAAAGTTTTTTTCTGTTATTAATAATACTGTGGTTGGACCCGGACAAAATGTGGAGAAGCTCAGTGGGGTGTGAATACTTTTATGACTGTGTGTCCTGCTTTACCTGTCGACATGTAACTGAAAGCACACGTTTGCACAACCCCGACTAATTGTAGTCGGGGTGTGCAGACCTGACGTACTCGTGTTGTCTTCAGTGTTAGCATTGCTTACAGACTGACCATAATAGCTCCTGAAAATATGTTTATTAATGAAAGAGATCACACTCTGTAGGGAATGTTATTTTTTTGTTTAAAAAGTGACAGTGATTGATTAATGCCTATATAAATGCTGATCACTTGACACAGTTGCAAGTTCCAGGAAGCTCTGGGTCAACGGCACTGTGAGAAACATGTCTGCATTTGAACTCTGCACAAGGCTCTGTGTTTTAGTCCTGAAACATTTATTTGAATAAATATAACTTACTGTTTGTGGAACAACAATAAATAGAAGTTTGAGAAAATTATCCCTGTATTATCTCAGAATCTGATGATTATAGGCATAGATGTGATTATTTTTTAGACAAATCTGATGGATCCAAACAGAAAGCTGTGTTTTGACATCTTTATTACAACTAGCTATAGCAGGTCCTAATTGAAACCTGACCGGTAGAAACATCACTTTTTTTTATTATGTTCTCTATTTACACTTTGGAAAATGAATTGTACTAGAAACCTGAATATAGAAAAAGAAAACTTCATTCCGGGTGGGAAGCCTGGAACACACCCACACACACACACACCACACACACACACACACACACACACACACACACACACACATATATATATATATATATATATATATATATATATAATATATATATATATATATATAATATATATATATATATATATATATATACAGCCATTCTGTACACTATGCCTGCCACTTGGTTATGTCGTTCCATGTACGCTTTCCCTGCCAGTATCTTGCACCCTGCTGTGATGTGCTGGACTGTCTCAGGGGCCTCCTTGCACAACCTACACCTTGGGTCTTGTCTGGTGTGGTAGATCTGAGCCTCTATTGCTCTGGTGTTTAGGGCCTGTTCCTGGGCGGCCAGGATGAGGGCCTCTGTGCTGTCCTTGAGTCCAGCTTTTTCCAGCCATTGATAGGATTTACTGATATCAGCCACTTGGGTTATTGCTGGTGGTACATCCCATGTAGGGGCTTGTCCCCATGATGGTATCTCTGGCACCTCAACCTCCGTTCCCTGTTGTCTGAGACATTCACTGAGCACATTGTCTGTTGAGGCTTTGTCCCTGATGTATTTATGGATCTTAGTTGTTTCGTCCTGGACAGTGGTTCTCACACTCACTAGTCCTCTGCCTCCTTCCTTGCGGCTCGTGTACAGTCTCAGGGTGCTGGATTTGGGATGGAACCCTCCATGCATGGTTAGTAGCTTTCTAGTCTTAATATCTGTGGCTTTTATTTCCTCCTTTGGCCAGCTAATTATTTCTGCAGGGTATCTGATTACTGGCAGGACATAGCTGTTTATCGCACGGATTTTGTTCTTGCCATTGAGCTGGCTTCTCAGGACTTGCCTTATTCGTTGGAGGTATTTAGCTGTGGCTCCTTTCCTTGTGGCCTCATCGAGGTTGCCATTTGCTTGTGGTATACCTAGGGGCAGTAACCCCCAAACTGGAGCAGTGGCTACAACAGATCCCAGGAACAACATCAGACATCTCAGTCCAAAAATGTGCAGTCCTTGGCACAGCCAAGATACTGCGCAGGACCCTCAAGCTCCCAGGATAAGAGGACCCAAGCTCAGAGGATAAGAACCACCCGCGGTGGGTGAGAAGGGAATTTTATATATATATATATATATATATATATATATATATATATATATATATATATATATATATATATATATATATATATATATATATATATGTATCTATATATATATATATATATATATATATATATATATATATATATATATATATATATATATCTATATGTCTCTATATATATCTGTATCTATCTATGTATCTATATATATATATATATAAAATATATATATATATATATATATATATATATATATATATATATATATATATATATATATATATATATATATATATATATATACAATCAGTTGTGTGCAAAGGACAAGTAAATCTGCTTGGTCAGACATCTGCCATTGTCCCTGTTGATACTTCAACAATTCCTGACAGATTATTCCATGATTTGGTTTAAGATGGGAGCAAGTGTTCAGTTGGGTTCCAAATTTGAATGTTTTCACCATTTGTCCAGTGATCCAGTTCTCCATCACATGAGAACCAAGCAGGTTATTTCCAGGTTCCTCCTTTAACCTTCATCAGGGTAAAGACATCAAATGAGCTTTGTGCTTCTGAGAGAAGTGAGAAGTGGAGTTATTGCTTCAATAGAACAAGAGTGCCACCTGCTGGCTATGGACACAAGTAAAAGTAGAGAGGTTTATAGGCATTTTTTAGCCCAGTTTAAAGACTCAAACTCAGTGGAATATTCTGTTATGCTTTTTTCTTTTAGATGTACATTCTGCAATATTAAAAATCTTTCTAAGGCTTTTATTATGCTGCATTGACTGATACCTCAGTGGAGTCTGGAAACTTCTATAGGGCTTCCTCATTCTAAAAATTAGATCTGCACAGAGGTTTTCTTTTGATCATCTTCACAGAACTTTATTAGTTTACTATTATGAAGATCACAATCAAAGAATGTCAATGTACACAAAAAAAAAAAATCCAGCATTGCTTTCTCCCAGTGATTGTGAATGCATCTTCAGTGGGTGTCCCTGTAGTCACATGAGATTCTGGAATTCACACATATAGGTTCTGATGCCACTTCTCACTTTCCTCAATGCTTCTGGAGAACATGCAGTAAATCACAGAGGTCTGTGCAGAGATAAACTTCCTGAAATGTTGACTGCACCTATGTAGCAAATTGAAATAGATTTTGAACTAAGAGTGATCTCTTCCTTTACATTCAAATCCCCCGATCATCTAACATCCAGAAGTTCCTGTCAGAGGTTTATTGCCAGTACAGATTGCACACTGCTCTGGACTTGCTCTGTGGGCTCCACTGTCCACAGAGCTTCGTGCAACACATTTACTTCCTCTGTAGCAGTATTATTGAAAGCTCTGCTCTGCATTTTAAACATCATCCACATGCAGGAATCCTGCCATGTGCCTCTTGGTGTCCAATAACATGTTTCAGTTGTCAGCCAGGCAAAAACAGCAGCATGTGCAAAAGGTTATATTTTTACCCTGGTTATCAATCAGGTGAAAACCACCTGCACCTTCAACCGTTTTAAAGAGACAAACCTTTTCCTTTTGCTAAATCTGTCATGTTTGTTCAGAGGGAGCACATTTATGAACCAGCTCTAAGATGATTGGTCACAATGATTCACAGTGTAATGACTCATTGTGAAGGAAGGTCTGTGATTCATTGACTTCTAATTTTATTTTGTAAAAAAACCAAAATGAATAGTGAAGCATGGGTTCACATTGAGCATCCATCAAGCTTCACGTTTTTGATTTTGTTTCTACCGGATTTGAACATCTCATACTAACTAACACTGGATGGAGAGCATCTGTTAATATCTGCTTTGAAGTCTTGTTAGAAATTCTCTGTTAGACTTAGGGCTGGACTTTGACTGGGCCATTCTGAAATGTTAAGGTTTTCCTCTGGGATTGTCTTGGACTTAACTCCATCCATCTGCTCATCAGTTCTGAACTGCTTCCCTGATCCTGCTGAAGAAAAGCATGATGCGGCCACCTCCAGTGTTAGTTAGTCCTCATGAACTCTCTACATTCATGAGGACTATCCAGTGTTAGTTTTCATGTGGACAAGTTTAAGTGGTGTGAATTTTGATGGTATACTTCAATGTTCAGACATGACCCACAACATTTGAAAGCACCCCATGGTGCTCTGAGATTTAAGGCTGCCGTGTAAAGTGAGAGGAAGCAGCTGGTGTTATTTTAAACATATGAAGGGTGACGGCAACACCCAGCTCTGAAGGATTCATTTTTTTATTCATGCAGCCCTTTTCTGGTAAGAGCGGCTCTTGTTTGTGAAAATTCAAAGTAACATTTGTATTATTTTGTTCTGATATAATTTTAACAGAACTTGAAACTCTGTTACTGTAAGGTGATTCAATATCGTAGCATTCAGTTATAGTTTTATGAGGACATTATGATGTCTCCAATGTGTTGGAATGTGATGAAAAAAACCAACTGGCAATTTTGGTAAGTAACCCCATGTTGAACCAGATTGTTGTGTTTTGATCAAAACTGCAGGAGAGCAAGATGTTTAGTCTCTGGGGTTTGGTGGCGTTTCTGTGTCTTCATCAGAGAACGTTCTGCAGTGGTGAGACAGTCATTCATGTCATTCCCTGTTTAAATCATACATCACTAACAATAATCAATGTCTGCTTTGTTGTAAAAAATATGAGTATATTAAAGACAAGTTCCAATGTTACTTCAAGATACCCACCTCCCCAACAAGGCGGACAAAAACTACCACTGGTTTTACCTGGCAAGCTGTCAGCAGAACACACTAAATTATAATTATAAAAGAAAAGGACATGCAGTGCTGTGCTGGTAATTGTCAACACTACAACTAATAAGGACCAAAGGCATCACAAAAAGTTTTAATTTAAAAAGTAGTTAAATTGGCTAATCAAGCACCTCTGTGTTCAGAAGATTACTTATTAATAATCTCAAAGTATCAAGTCTGAAGACATACCAATAGACTGAATGTTCTGTTCTTTGCGTTTGAAATGTTTGTATGCTCTTTGGATGTTGAATTCTAAGATACTAGCAATAACTGAATATTAGAAGCTGAGTCCCGTTTCTGTACCTCTAAGAGCAAATGTAAGTAAACCTTCTCAACATCTCTGAGTCGTTGGAGTCATTGCTCTCCTGCAGGCAGAGCACAGCGTCTTCCATCCAATTCTTTATGCATTTTGTTTTAGACACCACGTGCACAGAGTTGCAATCTACAGAGTCAAGTGGAGGCAATAATGCTGACTTACAGGAATCTTTTACTGATCCGTAGCAAACATCCAGGACAATTTGTTTTGATGAAAATAGTCCATTTCAGCTCTTTGTAAAGCACAGCTTCACACTTGTTCTTTTAGCCCCACTTCCTTCTGTTCCACCCACTGAGAATCTAAAGAATTCTAAACAGGATCCAATTGTTGCTGTATTTTGCAGGATAAGTTGCAGCAGTGCCATTGACACTATGACACGTCGAGTCTGGAAAATTATGTCAAGGAAATATTACACGGGTTCACATAACAGCATGTTTAACTCTGTTCAGCTTCACATCACTATAATTAGCAGGCCTAAATAAACTAAATGAATGTGTTGTGGTAACATAACAGCTTGGGATGAGTGCAAAGGAGTACAGTACACAGTCCTGCTGCCTTCACATCAGCAGGACTGTGGTGTGACATATTCACTGTTACAGATTAGGGCTTTAGATGTTGTTCTGTGACCTCAACAATTCATTTGTTGATGAGCTTTTGGATGCGTTTGGGTGCCTTGCCTGCTGTTTCATGTTTTTTCTTTTTGTGGATGCTGGTTCTGACTGTGGTTCTCTGGAGTCCCAGTGGCTTATAAATGGCGTTGTGGCCCTTTTCAAACTGATAGAAGTTGGTGACTTTATTTCTCATCTATTCTTGGAATTTCTTAGAATGCCAGATGTTTGTGATTTTATGGTACTTCCTGTTAGCAGGTTATAACAAATTCATTTTTTGATTCTTGGGATACTGAAGTGTTTACATGGTTTACCAACTTATTACGGATCATTTTTTACTCAGGCATAAAAACTTTTTCAATGACATGCAACAACTTTAATGAAACTCTAAAATGTGCCATAAATTAAGAGCCAGGTCATTTCTTTGTTAATGAACAAACTAAGCTAGGTATACATTTAGCATGGAATGATCATTTTAAACTAAATGGTCTTGTTTTATGTACGTTTTGTTGTTTGATTGTGTCAGCTTCTGATTCCACTTGTTCCTCTTACATATTTTTTGTTAAATTTTATGTCATTCTTTCCTTGTGTTTTTGTTTTTGTCCAGTCTTTCAAACGTCACGTGTGAACGTGAAATACGGAGATCCTGCTGTACTGCACTGCGATGGCTCAGGCTTGAAAGGAGAAGGGTTAGTGCACTGGGAGCTGAGAGGGGAGGATGTGGTAATTCTACGAGAAGAAGTACAAGTTTCTGAAAAATTTCAGGTTAGGGTCTTGACTACATTAAAAATGAGTCTGACTACATATGAGACAGTTTGATGCATAACAAATTCAAATATATATATATATATATATATTATATATATATATATATATATATATATATATATATATATATATTATATATATATATATATATATATATATATATATATATGGATCCATATATATATATATGGATATATATATATGGATAGCTCAATACATAAGGCATCAGTATATCACCCGAGAGGGCGGGGTTCGAATCCAGTCTGGGTCCTTAGGCAAGACCCTTCAAGCTACTGCCTACCTCATACCATGAGAGATACTAAGTTGCGTAACATGCCGGCTCAGACGTCGCCCGGCCAAACAAGGTCTGCGTCAGGTGTTGGGGAACCAGAGCACCTTGATGACAAATGGGCTACTGGAACAAGACGGAAATGGGCGAGAGATGAAAATGTGGATCTGTTGGAATGCTACTACTCAAGTAACCCTAGTGAGAGGGTTACATGCAAAGACTGGGGAAGGAATGGTTACTTCGACATCCCCAGTCAACACTAAGCGCTAAACAACTAGTAGCTCAGTGTTCCAACATCCGCAAACGGCAACTGCTATCACAACTTGAGATTGACGAGATACAACACAAATGCTACAGCAAAAGGGAGGAACCCGGATGTCAGAACTGTGGGGACTTAACTACAAGTCCCCACCCAGTGAGGGTGGGCCCCAATGAGCGAAACAGAGCTGAACGAGCTGACCTGAGAGAGAAAATCATGACCCGAATGACAACCAGACCTCCTCGGCGCCAATTACAACGGCTGAGTGAAGTACCATCAGAAAGTCTCATTGAGAATGTGAATGCAGCATTGAGAACGATCCCTACCAACACCATAACAGAAACCAATGAGCTGATCTACAACTCAGCATCAGTGATCCTTGAGACGCTTGGCTATAAGAGCAACCATGAGACCCAATACCCACCATGGAAAAGACGGTTAGAGGCTAAAATCAAGGTAACAAGGAGGGAAGTGAGCCAACTGTGAGGCAGATGCCCATACCTGAAGCACTTGAAACTGCCAAACAGAGGCTCCAAGCCTTGACCAGCCGCCTAAAGAGATACAGAAGGGAGAATGAATCCAGAAGGATTAACCGGCTCTTCTCCACTCAACCAGCTAAGGTGTACTCTCAATGGCAGGGTAATAACAACAGAGCAGACCCACCAAGGCTGGAGACTGAACAATACTGGAAAGGCATATGGGAAAGGGAGGCGTCCCACAACAGCAATGCACAGTGGCTGATCTCTCTACGAGAGCAACCTCCCTGAGCAAGCCCCGGTAACCATCACTGTGACAGATGTTCAAGAAAGACTCTCAGGCATGAAAAATTGGACAGCACCAGGGCCTGACATGATCCATGCCTACTGGCTAAAGAAACTCACTGCTCTCCATGAGCGACTGGCAGCCCAAATGAACCAGCTGCTACAAAGTGGGACTCACCCTGAATGGTTAACTGAAGGGCGGACAATCCTAATCCAGAAGGATCCATCAAAGGGTCCAGTCCCACCCAACTACCGACCAATAACCTGCCTCTCCACAACCTGGAAGCTCATGTCAGGCATCATAACGGCCAAAATAAGCAAACACATGGATAAACACATGAGCACGGCACAGAAGGGTATCGGTGTAAATACCAGAGGAGCCAAACACCAACTCCTCGTAGACCGCACAGTTGCCCGAGACTGCAAAACCCGACACACCAACCTGTGCATGGCTTGGATCGATTACAAGAAAGCCTATGACTCAATGCCGCATACTTGGATCATTGAATGCCTAGAGATGTATAACATTAACAGGATTCTGAGAGCCTTCATTGCAAACTCGATGAAGCTGTGGAAAACCACCCTTGAAGCCAACTGCAAACCACTTGCACAAGTGTCCATCAAATGTGGCATATACCAAGGAGATGCTCTGTCCCCGCTACTGTTCTGCATAGGCCTGAACCCCCTCAGCCAAATCATCAACAAGACTGGCTACGGATACCGACTCAAAAATGGGGCCAACATCAGTCACCTCCTCTACATGGATGACATCAAGCTGTATGCCAAGAGTGAACGAGACATCGACTCACTGATCCACACCACCAGGATCTACAGCACTGACATTGGGATGTCATTCGGACTAGAGAAGTGTGGTCGGCTGATCACAAAGAGGGGGAAGGTGATCCGCACAGAAGGAGTCTCACTCCCACAAGGAACAATAGCAGACATAGAGGACAGCTACAAGTACCTAGGTATACCACAAGCAAATGGCAACCTTGATGAGGCCACAAGGAAAGGAGCCACAGCTAAATACCTCCAACAAATAAGGAAGTCCTGAGAAGCCAGCTCAATGGCAAGAACAAAATCTGTGCGATAAACAGCTATGCCATGCCAGTAATCAGATACCCTGCTGGAATAATCAGCTGGCCAAAGGAGGAGATAAAAGCCACAGATATTAAGACTAGAAAGCTACAACCATGCATGGAGGGTTCCATCCCAAATCCAGCACCCTGAGACTGTACACGAGCCGCAAGGAAGGAGGCAGAGGACTAGTGAGTGTGAGAACCACTGTCCAGGATGAAACAACTAAGATCCATAAATACATCAGGGACAAAGCCTCAACAGACAATGTGCTCAGTGAATGTCTCAGACAACAGGGAACGGAGGTTGAGGTGCCAGAGATACCATCATGGGAAGACAAGCCCCTACATGGGATGTACCACCAGACAAGACCCAAGGTGTAGGTTGTGCAAGGAGGCCCCTGAGACAGTCCAGCACATCACAGCAGGGTGCAAGATACTGGCAGGGAAAGCGTACATGGAGCGACATAACCAAGTGGCAGGCATAGTGTACAGAAACATCTGTGCAGAATATGGACTGGAACCCCGAGATCAAAGTGGGAAACACCCCCAAAGGTGGTGGAGAACGCCAGAGCTAAGATCCTGTGGGACTTCCAGATCCAGACAGACAAAATGGTAATGGCGAACCAACCAGACATTGTCGTAGTGGATAAACATCAGAGGAAAGCCGTTGTGGTAGATGTAGCAATACCAAGTGATTGCAACATCAGGAAAAAGGAGCACGAGAAACTGGAGAAATACCAGGGCCTCAGGGAGGAAACTGGAGAGGGCCTGGAAGGTGAAGACCACAGTGGTGCCTGTGGTCATCGGTGCCCTCGGGGCAGTAACCCCCAAACTGGAGCAGTGGCTACAACAGATCCCAGGAACAACATCAGACATCTCAGTCCAGAAATGTGCAGTCCTTGGCACAGCCAAGATACTGCGCAGAACCCTCAAGCTCCCAGGCCTCTGGTAGAGGACCCGAGCTTGAGGACCACCCGCGGTGGGTGAGAAGGGAATTTTTTATACTGTGAAAAAAATTGGCCCATTTACTGAACCCTGTGACACTCCACTGAAAACCCTGGAGTGCGAAGATTTGTCATTACGTGATATAAATCCTAACATGTTTAAGAATATTGAAAATATTGATATGATGCATAAAAAAGAAATAACTGATATCTTTCTAGAATGACATTCTTGTATAAATAAAATAAATAATGACATTTTTAAATGAATAAACAAAATTCCTTATCTGTATTTCTTGGAAGTGATCTAGTCTAATACAGCAATACGAGGCTTAATTCGAAGAACATGTAACATTAGTATGAGTGCAAAATGCAGAGAAATGCGTCGCTGCTTGCAGTTAATTTGGAGCCAACTTCAAAGGTAAATGATCAGAGCACAAACAGCTGCTTCTTGGGTTTCATGAGGAGCTGCTATAATTTCTCAATGAATTTCAGTAGAAAAATGCAAAGTGCATGAACACATAAGACAGCAAAAAAATAATAATAATAATAATAATAATTCAAGCAGACAGCCCTGAACAAGAAAACAGAAAATGGACAGTTTAACAAGAAATATAAAAATGAACAGTCTTAAGTTCAAAACGCTGTAAATATACAGCAGCACAGAGAAGACTCAGAAGTTTGAAAAGGAATCCAAAAGTCACCCGGCTGCTACCAAAGTGTTTCAGTGGACTCAAAACGGCTCATGTCTGACAGCCGCTGACAGCTGAGTGTGCAACCTTGGCATAAACTCTTAATTCAGATTGCCACCTAACATAGAAAAACTCTGACATCTGATTTTGTCACAGCAGAGAAACACGTTCTTCAATAGAAACACAGAGAGATGCCTGACTGCATCTGATTGCAAATCTCATCCCCCTCAGTAACAAACATATCTGACTGAACTCTCCACCAATGATTGCTGCATGATGTATTGTCTTTATTTCTTATGAATTTGAAAATCCACTTATTATTCCACTCACAACAGGAAGAATTTATTAGATGATTATGGAAGGATAATTCATCTGTTTGAAACTCACTTCTCCTTTCAGATTCCTTCACCTTAAGTCCAGAGCATATTAGCTTTTTTTTTGTTGTTGCTTTTTACCATCACTAGATGATCAATGTATAAAAAACCTGATTGTCTTTGCTGGTGCAAAAGAATACTAGGGTTACTCTGGAGAAAAACAAAATATATTTTAGAATTTAATTTTAGAATTCTAAGAAAAGCATCCAAATTTTTCAGCCTTTTTTCAACAAATGATGATGAATAGCGTCACAGGAATCTTATTTAGAAGCGCACTTCCAACCTAGGCTAGCGGATGGCAGCGCTTTAGGACTGGTTGCTTATCAACTCCCATAGGAAAAGAATGTTTTTCCAACGATATCAATGACATCAGCAGCGATGTCATAACTCTATGACCCCACAAAGGAATCTCTCTCTTGAATGTAGCTCACAGAGAGAGTTTTGTCAGACCTGTTCCACAGTTCTATTGCTGCAGATCACTCTATAGAGCACGTTTGAAAGTCATTGAAACAAGCGAAATAATGATATCTCCTTCGAAAGAAGCAACATGAAGCAACAGCAGATTGCTAGTGAACATGTAGCTTTTCCATCTAAGCTTTCATGGGTCGACATCATGGACCTTAACGTCCAAGTCGACTACGATGCTGTCGTTTTCCCTTTTGAGGATGAGAGCGGCAGCCCCATTGAGCCGGCAGATGTACCATCAGAGATCCAGGGAGAATCAAGTCCTTCCGGCCACTTTGAGAGTTCAACATCTTCTGAAGTCCAGCAGGAAGCAACTCGGTCTGTTGGCTTCGAGATCACCCCCTCAGTGGAAGTGGCGGACAAGTCAAGCCAATGCGTCACTGACCTGACAAAGCAGGTGGACGATCTTAAAAAGGAGTTGCGGAGTAAGATCTTTGATCTCCACGAGGAACGAGACCGAAGGATTGCCTATCAGTCTGAAGTCCAGTCCCAGCAAGAGGAGATTCGAAGACTGCAAAAATTGTTACAAGAAGAACGTCACCAGCAAGTCAAACAAGATCATGACACAAACGTGCCAGAAGCTGCAGCTGCAGAAGCTGCAAGGGCTTCTTGCTCTTCAAAAGTTACAGCTGACAAGAGCCTCCTTCAACAGCTCGATTACTTCAAGAGGGAGGCTGTAAAACATGCTTCCCACAACAAAGGTCTCATAGAAGTAATGGTTGAAGAGTACAGAGTGAGGCTGAATTATGAGGAGAAAGAAAATGCAGTAACAGGGGATCATACATAGCTTGTCACTTAAAACCAGGAGTCGATCTGGCAATTACATGAAGCCTTTCTAAGAGACTATTGTGATGGTCTGAGATCTAACAGAAGACACACAAACACAAATCCATTATCTGAGGCTATAACGATACATTGTGACTTTAACCAGTGTTATGAGTTCTGAAATCAGACTGACTGAGCTATTGAGAATCAACTCACCTCAGCATTGTAAATGTAGGTGCCTACAATAGTTCAGCTACTAAATATTAAGGTTTGAATAATGTTATGAGACTGTAGCTTTCTGGAAGTACATTTTTTAGACATACAATCCATTCAACAATAAGTAAACAAAATCATTCACAAAACTAGTCTATTTTTGACTAGGGCGGGGATGCTGTGGTGATGCAGGGGTTAAGCACAGCCCACATTAAGACCTTAGTGAGGCGTTAGTCCTCAGCCTGGCTGTCGAAGGTTCGATTCCTGGCCGGTGACCTTTGTCGCAAGTCTTCCCTCGCTCTCATTACCCTACTTTCCTGTCATAGCACTTTCAAATAGAGCCAAAAAAAGAAGTAAAAAAGAAAATCTTCGACTAGATCAAATATTGTATTTCAAATAAGGCATAAACCATGTTTGCATTTGAAAACTGTAATAGAGCCAGCAGGGTGCACAGCAGACAAATTTGAGTAGTAATTGTTTTCAACTATTTCTGTTTTTTTTCCAGGATCGGGTTGAGCTGCCCTCAGAGGAGCAGGTGAGGGAAGGGAACTGGTCTATGGTCCTCAGAGAAACCAGACTCAAAGATGCTGATATGTATGAGTGCATCTTTGGAGGAGCAACTACCATATCAATTGTCTGGCTCTTAGTCAGTGGTGAGTTTTTTCATAAAAAAAAATGAAATAAAAAATGTTTTTTTTAATATATATATATTTCAAGTGTCCATCAAATGTGGCATATACCAAGGAGATGCTCTGTCCCCGCTACTGTTCTGCATAGGCCTGAACCCCCACAGCCAAATTATCAACAAGACTGGCTACGGATACCGACTCAAAAATGGGGCCAACATCAGTCACCTCCTCTACATGGATGACATCAAGCTGTACGCCAAGAGTGAGCGAGACATCGACTCACTGATCCACACCACCAGGATCTACAGCACAGACATTGGGATGTCATTCGGACTAGAGAAGTGTGGTCGGCTGATCACAAAGAGGGGGAAGGTCATCCACACAGAAGGGGTCTCACTCCCAGAAGGAATAATAGCAGACATAGAGGACAGTTACAAGTACCTAGGTATACCACAAGCAAATGGCAACCTCGATGAGGTCACAAGAAGGGAGCCACAGCTAAATACCTCCAACGAATAAGGCAAGTCCTGAGAAGCCAGCTCAATGGCAAGAACAAAATCCGTGCAAAAACAGCTATGCCTTGCCAGTAATCAGATACCCTGCAGAAATAATTAGCTGGCCAAAGGAGGAGATAAAAGCCACAGATATTAAGACTCGAAAACTACTAACCATGCATGGAGGGTTCCATCCCAAATCCAGCACCCTGAGACTGTACACAAGCCACAAGGAAGGAGGCAGAGGACTAGTGAGTGTGAGAACCACTGTCCAGGACGAAACAACTAAGATCCATAAATACATCAGGGAGAAAGCCTCAACAGACAATGTGCTCAGTGAATGTCTCAGACAACAGGGAACGGAGGTTGAGGTGCCAGAGATACCATCATGGGAGACAAACCCCTACATGGGATGTACCACCAGCAAATAACCCAAGTGGCTGATATCAGTAAATCCTATCAATGGCTGGAAAAAGCTGGACTCAAGGACAGCACAGAGGCCTCATCCTGGCCGCCCAGGAACAGGCCCTAAACACCAGAGCAATAGAGGCTCAGATCTACCACACCAGACAAGACCCAAGGTGTAGGTTGTGCAAGGAGGCCCCTGAGTCAGTCCAGCACATCACAGCAGGGTGCAATATACAATATAACCCTAACCCTAACCCTATACATAACCAAGTGGCAGGCATAGTGTACAGAAACATCTGTGCAGAATATGGACTGCCAGAGCTAAGATCCTGTGGGACTTCCAGATCCAGACAGACAAAATGGTAATGGCGAACCAACCAGACATTGTGTAGGTAAACATCAGAGGAAAGCCGTTGTGGTAGATGTAGCAATACCAAGCGATTGCAACATCAGGAAAAAGGAGAGACTGGAGAAATACCAGGGAAGAACTGGAGAGGGCCTGGAAGGTGAAGACCACAGTGGTGCCTGTGATCATCGGGGCCCTCGGGCAGTAACCCCCAACTGGAGCAGTGGCTACAACAGATCCCAGGAACAACATCAGACATCTCAGTCCAGAAATGTGCAGTCCTTGGCACAGCCAAGATACTGCGCAGAACCCTCAAGCTCCCAGGCCTCTGGTAGAGGACCCAAGCTCAGAGGATAAGGACCACCCGCTGTGGGTGAGAAGGGATTTTTTATATATATAAGTCATCAGTCTTTCACCCGAGAGGGTGGGGTTAAAATCCAGTCTGGGTCCTTAGGCAAGACCCTTCAAGCTACTGCCTACCTCATACTATGAGAGATACTAAGATGCGTAATCTGCGGGCTCAGACGTCGCCCGGCCAAACAAGGTCTGCTTCAGGTGTTGGGGAACCAGAGGACCTTGATGACAAATGGGCTACTGGAACAAGACTGAAATGGGCGAGAGGCGAAAACATGGATCTGTTGGAATGCTGCTACTCAAGTAACCCTAATCAGAGAGGTTAGATGCAAAGACTGGGGAAGAAATGGTTACTTTGACATCCCCAGTCAAAACAAGCACTAAACAACTAATAGCTGTGTTCCAACATCCGCAAACGGCAACTGCTATCACAACTTCAGATTGATGAGGTACAACACAAATGCTATGGCAAAAAGGAGGAACCTGGATGTCAGAAATGTGGGGACTTAACTACAAGTCCCCACCTAGTGAGGGGATACACGGCCCCAATGAGCAAATCAGAGCTGAACGAGACAGCTGCTGACCTGAGAGAGAGAATCATGACCCGAATGACAACCAGACCTCCTCGGCGCCAATTACAACGGCTGAGTGAAGTACCATCAGAAAGTCTCATTGAAGAAGTGAATGCAGCATTGAGAACGATCCCTACCAACACCATAACAGAAACCAATGAGCTGATCTACAACTCAGCATCAGTGATCCTTGAGATGCTTGGCTATAAGAGCGACCATGAAACCCAATACCCAGCATGGAAAAGACGGTTAGAGGCTCAAATCAAGGTAACAAGGAGGGAAGTGAGCCAACTGTCAGAGGGTGCAATGATGCCCATACCTGAAGCACTTGAAACTGCCAAACAGAGGCTCCAAGCCTTGGCCAGCCGCCTAAAGAGATACACAAGGGAGAATGAATCCAGAAGGTTTAACCGGCTCTTCTCCACTCAACCAGCTAAGGGGTACTCTCAGTGGCAGGGTAATAATAACAGAGCAGACCCACCAAGGCTGGAGACTGAACAATACTGGAAAGGCATATGGGAAAGGGAGGCGTCCCACAACAGCAAGGCACAGTGGTTGATCTCTCTACAAGAGGACCACTGCAACCTCCCTGAGCAAGCCCCGGTAACAATCACTGTGACAGATGTCCAATAAAGAGTCTCAGGTATGAAAAACTGGACAGCACCAGGGTAGTCCCTGGTGCTGTCCATGCCTACTCGCTAAAGAAACTCACTGCCCTCCATGAGCGACTGGCAGCCCAAATGAACCAGCTGCTACAAAGTGGGACTCACCCTGAATGGTTAACTGAAGGGCGGACAATCCTAATCCAGAAGGACCCATCAAAGGGTCCCACCCAACTACCGACCAATAACCTGCCTCTCCACAACCTGGAAGCTCATGTCAGGCATCATAGCGGCCAAGATAAGCAAACACATGGATAAACACATGAGCACGGCACAGAAGGGTATCTGTGTAAATAGCAGAGGTGCCAAACACCAACTCCTCATAGACCACACAGTTGCCAGAGACTGCAAAACCCGACACACCAACCTTTGCATGGCTTGGATTGATTACAAGAAAGCCTATGACTCCAATGCCGCATACTTGGATCATTGAATGCCTAGAGATGTATAACATCAACAGGACTCTTCATTGCAAACTTGATGAGGCTGTGGTAAACCACCCTTGAAGCCAACTGCAAACCACTTGCACAAGTGTCCATCAAATGTAGCATATACCAAGGAGATGCTCTGTCCCCGCTACTGTTCTACATAGACCTGAAGCCCCTCAGCCAAATTATCAACAAGACTGGCTACGGATACCGACTCAAAAATGGGGCCAACATCAGTCACCTTGTCTACATGGATGACATCGAGCTGTATGCCAAGAGTGAGCGAGACATCGACTCACTGATCCACACCACCAGGATCTACAGCACGGACATTAGGATGTCATTCGGACTAGAGAAGTGTGGTCGGCTGATCACAAAGAGGGGGAAGGTCATCCACACAGAAGGGGTCTCACTCCCAGTTTTTTTTTTTTTGATAATTGTATATAATTAGTATTATTATAATAATACATTTTATTTGTGTGGCGCTTTTCCTTGAGAATGTGGTTCGATCAGTCAGTGAGCAAAATGGAAGCCTGACATCTGCAAGCCATCATCTTCAAAGTGACAAGAAATTTATTTTTGAAATACTTCACTTTGTGTAATGCATCTATTTCACTTTCTGAAACAAGTGACAAAAAATATTGAACATTTTCTTAGTATTCTAATTTTTGAAGCCATACCTGAAGAAAATTCTAATAATACAATCATTGTCTTTTCTCTCCATGTGCTGACATGCTTCATACAAGAGCCCCATGTTGACCCGCTCATCACTGCGTTTGAGGGAACTCAGGTGGACCTAGCTTGCTTCATTAGACCTGAGAGAGAAAACATAAAGCGTTTTTATTGGACTTTGAATGGCAGATTTCTCATTCAACATGACCACGTATGGTATTCTCCAGATGCTCATACATGTTTACTTCTCTTTATTTGATCCTTTGGAAACTTTAACATACAATGAGGAAGGAGGAGCAAATGGAAAATCAGCTAAATTAGCACAAGCCAGACCCTAAACTGTCAAATGATATTAACTTATTTTAGATGCAAAACATAGCAATACTCGATGACAAGTGAAAATGTGGGATCCCTAAGATCCAAGTGGTTAAAGTCAATTAGTTGGGACAGAATCTTTGTCTATAATTAGACTTTAAATTTAACAAAACATTCATCTTCCTTTCTTTGTAAGCATTGTTTCTTGTTTAAGATACTTCTCATCTTCATGTATGCCACATGTATTATGTTGGATGATCAGTATTTCTTTTCTATCTCCAGCAAACCCTCAGCGTAACGACGTATGAGTTTCCTAAATCAATTCAAGTTAATGAAGAAGAATTTCATCTTTATTTGAAACCAACTAGGAATGATAGTGGGAAGTACCAGTGTTGGTATTCAACTGGGTAAGAGTCATCAACTTGTTTTGTTTGTTGTTTTCATTCACAATAATAACAAAATTGTTTTGTTAACATCAATTGTTTCATGTCATCAACAAGAAGATGACAACTATGATGATGAAATGTCTGAGTTTATACAGATGAGACATTTTGGTGGTCAGACATCAAAATGTTTGACATTCTGCCTATTTTGCTGCGTTTCCACCTGGTTATTCTTATCAAAGGCCATTACAAAGTTATGCTCAGTAATTAGTCAGTAGCTGCATTTCCATTACAAAGTTATGCTCCCCTTGTTTATATTCTACTTCTCATGAAACATCATTTTGCCCATGTGGTCTTTCCATTAAATAAAAGGAAATTAAAATCACACATTAATAAGCTTGTTCAGGCAATATATGATTATTATGAATGATGGCAATGACAGATGAAATGACACATGGAATATATTCATAATTCAGCCGTTGTGCTTATTGTGTATCAGCCATCAGAGAAGACATCCACGTCTTATTCAGGCGTCGGGTTTAACAGAGAAAAACAAATCTCCTCTTCCTACTTTCTGTTGTCATCTTTGTTGTTTTCATCACAAATCTTATGATGTGAAAACTGTTTCCATTTCAGTATAGCAAAATATATCTCATTTGACATGGACAAAAAAAACACCTCATCCTAATGCAAAAAACAAAAAATGTTTTTCAAAATTTGTGTTTATGAAGTAAATGTATTTTTGTCATTTCAATTTACACAACTCTGTGGTTAATAGAAACAAATCTATTGACTTACAACAATGAGCACTAAGCAACAGAGAACATGTTTAGTGTTGTTGACTTGGAAGCAATGCCTAATGCCAATTATGTATATAATGTATGTAACAGGAAGAAAACTCTGACAGCACCTGAACCAGGCTCAACATCATCAACATCTGCTGCAACTGAAAAGACAAAAACAACAGCAATAAATAAAAAACAAACACAGCAGCACTGATCAGCATTTATCAACATTGTGCCCCATCTTGATAAAAATATCCTCAATTGTTTAATTTTAGATAGATTAATATATAGTTTATTTAGAAAGTCCTGGCTGCCAATATGTTACATTATTGCAGATTGGTATCTTATTTCCTGCATGATATTTGTCGTCTCTTTCAGTAGTAGGACATCTTCCTGTTTCTAATGGTACACTGGTGTGAAGCTAATTACTATAAACCTTAGAAAATTGTTAAAAATAATGTTCACTGTCAACTTTTTTTTTTCCATTTTTAGGGAGTCTGGCAGTCCTAAACTTGCATTACCAGAAAGCTACACACTAACTGTGGTTGGGATAACCACTGATTCTGGTAATCTTCATTCCTTTACCATGGCAGAGCCTACAGACACGCTGCCCCCTTCAAAAACAGAGTATGACATGGAAGAAAAAAAAAAAATGTCTGAGGAAGTTCTGCTAGAGGTGACAACTGCTGCAAGGGCAACAGAAACACCGACTGATCATCTTCTAGTTATCTTGGAAATGTCCACTCAGAAAATGGAAGGTGAGAGAACACAGCCCTTTAAATGCACTGTGATAGTACAGAACCTGTTGTTGAGTGCTATAAATCACACAGCTACAGAATCTGTTGAGACATCCTCAGTACAAGCTACCAGAACATCCCGGCAGATGGTGACCCTCCTTTCAGAGCAGGTGAATGCTGCTGAAGCCACTGAGCTGGAAGACTCCACCCACCTGATTCAAGGTAGAATGATAGAGTGAATGCATGGAGGCTTTATTAGTTTCAATCTGGCCCTGCGGTCCAGCAAGATCATGTATCTGTAATTCTATAGTTGGAGTGACATAAGCAATGTTTTATATTTAGAATGACTGCATAGAGGCAGCCTTAGTTTGGTCACTAACATCTATCTGTATATATTCCAGGAGGTTCTGGATCCATTCAAACAACCAGAATGAGTGTAAACATGACTGTTTCAATAATATAGTATTTCTAAAAAATAAATCCCTTTCATAAATAAATCACTTTTCGCATCAACTGTATTTTACTTCTGCACAATTCATGTGGAATTTTTAGTATTTTCTGTATTTGTTACAAATTATTGTTAAAATTCTAATGAATCATTTTTCTAGTGTGTTTGGGAAGTCATCAACATCTGGAGAACAAAAAGCTGAAGAACTTTGTCCTTGTTTCAGAATCATAGCTGAGCCACTGGCTTCACTTTCCCCAAAGTCCATTTCAGCTTTATTTATGCCCACAGCTAAAATGCTCAGGTTGTAATTCATACATAGAACAACTGATACAAACAACTAATTTTGAAATATTTATTCTGGGCCAAACAGAATTATAAAATTTATGTCCAGCAATGAAAGTCATTTTAAATTCTGCCAGTACTATGACAAAAACATTTTCAATCTATTCTTTAAATCTCACGTCATCTTTATTTGGTGAATTCAATATCTTGTATCATCTCTTCTTATTAGTTGAATCTATTGTTTCACTACTGGTCATCATCTGTCTTTTGCTCAGGAATCTGATTTTGATTTTACTCGGATTGTTTCTGTTTTGTGCTTCAGATGATGGGAATCTGCTTCCCAGTGATCTCACACAGCAGACGGAGACCTTTGAGGACAAAGAGACATTTTCAGATGAGGGTCAGTGACACCATCTCAATAAATATTGGAATTAGGGATGAAAAACAATTCTGACTTGTTTCCTTCTTTACTGCAGATGACCTGGATGCAAGTTGGAGCGTTTTCCAGCTTGGGGATTTTCCATGGGTTCGCATTGGAATCATTGGTGGAGTTCTGCTGATCACAGCCGTGGTTCTGTGTGTTCTCAGAGCTCTGCACCATATTTAGTTGGCAGGAGGGGACATGGATCACCGCTTACCATGTTCAGTTTAGTTAGGGGTGAATCAGTTGAACAGTGGCCACGGCAACCAACACAGCATCTGCATGGGAATATTTGGGAACTGCAGAAACAGTCGTGTGGAATTTCTGAAACACATTATGTGAGCCAAGAGCATATTCACGTTTACAGATTCAAATTCTTCTGACATTAGCAGGTGATGTAAAGACGTCCCAGATGATTTTGAAGATCTGGATGATGTGGAGTGTGGCTGCTTTTATTTTAATCACAGCTGTGATTGAAGTAAATGAAAATCTTTCTTTCTAATTGTTCTGATGAATTATTTCAAGTTACTCATGTCAACTCCTCCCAATGTACTTATCATCTTCAATGCAGTTTGAATGTTTTGTGTATTTAAAACAATTTACTGAACTCTAACAGGCGGTTAGAGTTCAGTAAGGTGAGTATTGCTCTTTTTTCAGGGTAGTGAATTAGTGAGAGCACAATTACCCGCCACAATTTACACACTTTTACTTGGAAAAACTATTTGAGTCATTTTGATTATTAACAAACAATCAAAATGACTTCATACTACAATGAAGAGTGGAATCATTTCATTCGATTTCATACAAAACTGTGAAGGTTTATCTGTCACTGAGGATTATTTGTCGTTAAACTCCACCGGGTCTCTGAGCGTCTGCCTCACACTCCACACACCACTTCATGACATGTCAATTAAATATTTGGTTTGGAACTCTGACATTTATACATTTGTGCATAACATGATGAAATTATGATTTTGAAAAATGAACACACATTTATTTCTCTATGACAGGCCAAATCAATCAGAATATTTCTGTTAATTTTTGACTGTGTAACTTTACAACAGCACTATTTTGTTGACCTTTAGCAGAAGGGACTACATATCCCATGATGCTTCAGAAGTAGAGGCAGAAGGAGAAGAAGACTTTCATCAGAGAAGAGCTCCAACATTGTTGTAAATCATAACTATTATGTATGATTCATTCATCCTATTTTATTCACCACAGTTCAACCGAACAATGCGCTTGTCTCCTTCTCGTCTTTGTATCAGTTTGAGAAAACATTTCAAGCCATCAGCAAAACAGCTTTAACACAATGTTTCTAAACCAGGCCTGGGTGTGTGTGTGTGTGTGTGTGTGTGTGTGTGTGTGTGTGTGTGTGTGTGTGTGTGTGTGTGTGTGTGTGTGTGTGTGTGTGTGTGTGTGTGTGTGTGTGTGTGTGTGATTACTTACTTCTTAGTCTGGCTTATTTTTGCTAAGACTTTATTATTATCCGATAATAAGCCTATTTTTTATTTTAAAGCCTGCTGAAAAGTTTAATTTTAAACAAATTAAGCAAATTAAATGTTTTACTGGATAAATTGTGTCTTTTGATCTAAACTGAAGGTGACGGTTGGTCCATTTAAGATTATCATGAAGGACATCTGTCCACTTTTGTCTTGGCTCAGTGTGTGTAATCTGAGGTGTGAAACTGAGCTGAAGCTGTGGATTATTGATGCGTCTCAACCTTAGCAGGGAGCATAGCCGAAGCGAGAAAGGAGATTTCATCCGATGAGAAGAAGCTGCATCTGTGTGTGTGGATCATGTATGCTGTGACTCCACAGGGGATGTGGATGCTGTAAGCAGGAACTTGTGTTCTCATGGTGCCTTCCTTCCAGGCCTCAAAACTGTGCTGATCAAAATTTGATGAGCAGATCTTAGTAACCTGAGATGTGACAGAAAACATGGTGGATCACTGTCTGCTGGGGTTCCACTGCTCCTGACTGGAAGCGGGGGGTTGTGTGGTCCTCTATCACTGATCATGTAGAATGACAGGAGCTGCAGGTTTATTAGAACACATTGTGATGAAACCTTTAAAACGCCACATAATTAATGGCAGTCACTTTCCATAACAACAAACTTGGACTTCCTCTGCACTGGAAATATGATATGTATCACGTTTTGATAAATCCAAACAATTTGCACTAAGTGCAACATTAGACAAGTTATCAAACAGCCGACTGAACACTGAACCTCTGCTTTGTTGCAGATGCCAGAGAGAGAGAGAGAGAGAGAGAGAGAGGGAGGGAAGGGCAGTGGGGGTAGGAGGGAGGGGGGAAGGGGGGACTCTACTTCCCCATGTTGCTGCACACAGTGCAATGGGACAGCAGCAGAACCACAGGATCAGCTACCAGAATTTAGGAATAATCACCCAACAGGTCAGACACACGTTTAGTTTCTAAACATTTCTGTTTAAATGTTAAATTCTTATCATATGCTGGGTTTTCTACTTTTGTAAACAGATTTGTTAAATTGTGAACAAGTTTCAGTTTTCAGAATTGATGTGTAGACTTCTGATTTCATTTTTAAAGACAAAATTCAAGTTGAGTTTTTAATGTTTTGAACAGATACTGAGCTAGGATGCTGAGGTGGGCCCTATATGGGATAAATGAAAGCAAACAATATGGGTCCCAGAAGATTTTGACCATGGTTCCCATGGAGCCGTACATGGTTTTGCCAAGATAGATTGCTGCCCTCACCTATCCCATATGGGACCCATCTAGGTTTGCTGGCTGGGTAACAGCAAACTTTTTTAGCCAAAAGTATCTGGTGAGGATGATTAAGTGCTTGGTTTATATGTACAATTGAATCCAGATATTTACATGCATTGAGTAAAAAGACAAACACATTTTTTCTTACTGTTAGACATTAAATCAGATCAAACATTTCCTGTTTTAGTTTAGTTAGAATTACCAAAATTTTTTCTATTTGCTAAATGCCAGAACCTTGGCAAGAACAATTTTTTTAGAATTTTTTGTAAAAATTCTTGCAACCCATCAGCAGAAGGGGTATAATTAAATTGAATGAGTTGGTTTACTTGCACAAATGCAGCATTTAAGCAAAGTATTCAAAATGTTTAATACTGACAGGGTCAATTTAACTCCCATAGCTAAATAGTTTAGCTGTGGGAGCATTGATCAGAGTAAAAGTCAAAGAAATGCAAAGCCATGCACCCAAACATTTATTCAGTTCATTGTTTCAGTGGAATGTCGTATCATCATTTTCCGCTTCGGATCTAGACAGTAGGATCCAGACGTCTACATTAAGACTCAACGTGGGAAACAAGCAAATGTGCTTATGTTGCAATTCTGCAGATGATTGAACTTGCAGAGTCGACCCGGTGCAGCTCTGGCTCAGTGTTGAGGTCAAGAGTGAAGGTGACAGGGTTTGAGAAGATTAGTCGGCTTAGGCAGCTTTTCAAAAAGTGAATGCAGTGAAACAGAATGTAGAAGCAAAGCAGTGTCCACACCAGCTTCAACCATCCCCCAAAGAGGCACAGGTTGAATATTCATACTGCAACTGAAGACAAAACACGCAGCGGTGCATCAGCAAACTGAGTTTGTTTTTTAGAGCATAAAAGGTATGAAGTGCATTCGTTCCAAAAGGTGAAAAAACACAGAAGATATAAATAATGAATTATTTGAAAAATGATTTAAAATGAAGTAATATTAACTGACATTAACAGTCAGTTAATGTGGCTTGTTATGACGCCTGCTTGGTGAGGCATTCGGGTCACGTTTCACAGGAATGAAACCCAGAAGCAATTTCTTCATCAAATTCTGTTAGGTCATTACAAAATAGTTTGCATTAAAGTAGTTGGACCTGCTTCCCTATGATTCTGGCTTTTATGCCAAAAAACGGTCAGAAAAATGCTGCACATAACAACACAGAGTGTCAACACAACCAAATGTGTAGCACGATGGTGAAGAGATAAGGCTGCCATGCACTGACTGGCACCACCAGCTTTCTGACCAGCACCAGCAGGGAAGGTGTGTGAGATGTCTCGCCCAAGAACACAATGACAGAGGGAGCGGGGATTGAACTGGCAAACTCCAACCACAATCACCACCATCACCTATAGCTAATATTTCTATGTATTTATAATCTACTACTAAACCCTGTGGAATGCTTCATTTATGTTCTCTATCACCCCTGTTACTGCCTGTTGTGCTCTTCTACTTAGATGGCTCTATAAGACAGGAGGAGATGGCTTCCACAGAGAGTGGGCTCCGTAAGTCAAGTCAAACGTCTCATCCTCACATAATTTTAACAATAATGCATTTTATTGACTTCACTTACTAAACTAAGCATTCCTGTGTATGTGAATTCCCAGGAGGAGTGTGAACTTCATCTGAGCATCTCTGCTTTTCTTTTCTTCTCAGGTATTCAGGGGGATGAAAACCTGCAGTCCATGCTTGTGGGGACCGTTATGAGAAAAATTAAGTCTCGTACATGGAAAAAACAAAGATATTTCAAGCTCCAGGACGACTGCATGACCATCTGGTACAAATCCAAGAAAGCTGGCAAAGCTCACTCCACCTGTAAGAGTTGACAGTTTAACTATATTACAGATAGTTACAAAAAAGGCAATAGTTATCTTACTTTCGTCTGGTCATAGCTCTTGTTCTGGATAAAGAAAAAGCCAATTTTACATTCAGATCTTTGTCTGCATATTATATTTGCGGTCTATCCACGTGATACTTATACAGAGCTTTGTGTGCAGTTTCCATGAGGGATGTGGAGGTAGTGCGAGAGGGACATCAAAGCGAAGTACTTCTCAGCATCGCAGACGAGTTCCCTGCTAACCGATGCTTCACAGTGGTGTTCCACGGTCGCAGAGGAAACTTGGACCTGGTGGCCGAGTCAGCCGAGGAGGCCCAGTCTTGGATCAAAGGCATGAGGAAGCTAATTGAAAACCTGGAAAACATGGGAGAGAGGGAAAAACTAGACCAGTATCCTTTCTTATTTGGAATTTACTGATACAGAGTTTCTGCATTTTGCCTCAATGTATATTGCAAAAAGTACAAGGTCAGCAAATCATTCAGTTTATGAGTATTCAAATCACTTCTGTGGTCACAGATGTATAAAATCCAGAACCCTGAAGACTTATTTCAAAAATCTTTGAAAGAATGGATTGCTCTCAAGAGTTAAGTAAATTCAAGCACAACCAGTCGTGCAGTAAATTCAGTAATTAAATGTTGCTTCTAAAAATCGCAGGGCCAACTCGTGGTGTCATAGCAAAAACGAAGCAACGACAAAATACAGCAATTACAAAGTTGGAGAATTTGGTCACATGAAATCCCAGAGTTGGAACAAGACATTCTGATAAACGAATCTGTGTTTGTCAGGAAATTGGGAGAATGATTGTGGTTTTTGGGTGTTTGGGTGATTTCCAGGGTTGGTGTCAGCACCTTGTTTCCAGTAACAAGAAATCTAAATATGCTAAAGCAAAATGATTAATGTTTT